ATTCTCCAGGCAAGAACACTGGAATGGGTTGCCTTTTCCTTCTCCAATGCATGAAAGTGAAAAGTGAAAGTGAAGTCGCTCAGTCGTGTCTGACTCTTAGCGACTCCATGGACTGCAGCCTACCAGGCTCCTCCGTCCATGGGATTTTCCAGGCAAGAGTACTGGAGTGGGTTGCCATTGCCTTCTCCGAAATATAACCGAATTAAGATTAATTTGAAAAATAACTTTGGTCTCAATAAAGTTGACCTGATGATTTACATAACTATAATAGATCAAGTTTATTTTTTATTTATTTTTTGCTTTGTTTTGTAAGTTTTATAAGGAGTCTCAGACTGAACTTGGCTAGGAGAGTCATGCCAAGGGCTTGTCTAGGTGAATTCCTCCCTTTTCAAGGTCATCTAAACACCTTGAGATTTCTGTACTCGTTGTTGTTTAGTCACTAAGACGTGTCTAACTCTTTTGCAACACCATGGACTGTAGCCTGCCACATTCCTCTGTCCATGGGATTTCCCAGGCAAGAATACTGGAGTGGGTTGCCATTTCCTTCTCTAGAGGGATCTTCCTGGACCAGGGATCAGACCTGGGTCTCCTGAATTGGCAGGAGGATTCTTTACCACTGAACCTACTGGGGAAGCCCTGTTTGGAGATAGTTTTTCTGATAGGTATTTTATCTGATAGAGCTGCTGGGAACCTATGAGTTTCCAATGTCTGGAGTGAGCAGATCAAAGAAAAGATAAATATTTTAATTCTGCTTACAAAAGTATAATTTACCAAATTACTGTAAGTCACAGTTAGTTTGAGGGGAAGGTTTCTTTATACCTGGGAAATACAGATGTAGACCAGTAGTTTTTCAGATTAGAAACCATAAAAATTATAACCATATTCACCAGTTCACTCGGTCCTATGTAACTAACATAGGACCTTTTTGTGAACAATTTTATGAAATCATCAGGTTTCCCAGTAGAATTCTTTAATTTCTCACCCATTTAGCATTATGGCCTGAAAGTCGAAATACTATCCAAAAGTCCTTTCTATAAATCATTTTGAAGAGGAAGCATTTTCACAAAGGAAGGCATCAGAATAAAACCATAACTGTCTATGACGACAAAAGATTTAAGAAGGCATATTTAAAACCTGATTATAGGGTTTCCCTAGTGGTTCAGTGGTAAAGCATCTGCCTGCCAGTGCAGGAGACATGGGTTCGAATTCCTGATCTAGGAAGACCCCATATGATAGGGAGCCACCAAGTCCAAGTGCTACTGAGCCTGTGCTCCAGAGCCTGGGAACGGCAGCTACAAGCCCTCACATCCTGGAGCCCGTGCCCTGCAACCAGAGAAGCCACTGAAAGGACCGCACACTGTGATTAGAGAGTAGCCCCCTGCTCGCTGAAACGAGAGAAGAGGCCTCGCAGCAACGGAGACCCAGCGCAGCCAAAAAATAAATAGGTAAAAATTAGGAAAAAAAGCTGATGAACATGCAGTTGACAAAGAAGCCTGGTTACGGCCCTGACATACTACACTTGCAGACAGCAACTAGAATTATGACTGATAACATTCTACCAGGCCATAGCCAATTTTTAGGAATTTATATAATGGAATTTCTGGAGTATCAGTATTCATAACATTGACCATGCCATAGAACCTGAGAAGACGTGGTGCTCGTTTGACCATGCTGTGCTCAGTCGCGTCCGATTCTTCGCGACCCCATGGGCTGTAGCCCCCAGGCTCCTCGCCAGGGCCTCTTCTGAAGGACTGAGGTGAAGTAAGGTCCTGTGTGTAAAGTGCTTCACACCTGGGGCAGAGGTGGGGGAGTGTGTACCCAGCACCTGCTCTCACGTTCCCATTCTTCATTTCACAGGGATTCTCTTGAGTTCTTTCTTTCACAGCTTCTTTCCTTCCCTCCATTTTTCCTGAAACTCACTCGCTCAGAGCGTGAGACCCCCCGAGTTTTTCCTCTCATGTCCTTGAGCTTCTGTCTCCTACTTCTCCCTCTCTGACGCTTGGCTTTCTGGGAGATTTGATCATCTTTTTCTACCCGTCTCTTGAACTTACTTTTCTTTTTTTTTTTAACACTGACTTTACAGATATTTGCTTTATTTAACTGCGCTGGGTCTTAGCTGCAGCACTCATCATTTCAGTTGTGGTAATGTGAACTCTTAGTGACGGCAGGGGGGACCTAGTTGCTTACCCAGGGATCGAACGCAGGCTCCCTGCGTTGGGAGTGCAGAATCTTCATCAAGGGACGACCAGGGAGGTTTCAAGCTTGACTTTAACTTGCACTGCTATTTGCTCTTTCTTATTCTCCACTGGTTTCCTTTTCTAGAATTCAGGGTTTAACAGGTACAATATCTTTTTCTCTCTGAAGATTCTAATCATAAACATCTTTTATCTAAAAAATCTCCAGCACGATGCATCCCTCTTAGTTATCCTGTTTATGTGTGTGCTCTTGGTGTTCGTTTTTCACATGACACGCTTTCCTCAAGTGTCTGGTGAGCCTTAGGTGTCTGCTCACATTTAAAAGAGAGGCGTGCGTGTTTGCTAAGTCATGTCCGACTCTGTGAGGCCCCATGGACTGTAGCCCACCAGGCTCCTCTGTCCTTGGGATTCTCCAGGTAAGAATACTGGAGTGGGTTGCCATTTCCTCCTCCAGGGGATCTTCCATACCTTGTGATCAAACATGCGTCTCTTCTATCTCCTGCATTGGCAGGCAGGCTCTTTACCACTAGCACCACCTGGGAAGCCTGTAATTAAGGTTATGAACCTTAAAATAGGGAGAGAGATTTTCCTACATTAATCCCCGCAAGCCCAGTCTAGTCCTATGAGCCCTTAAGAGCAGAGGACTTTCTTTGGCTGGAGGCAGGAGATACGAGGAAGTCAGAGAGTTCCCGGGAGTGAGAAGGTTGGACTTGCTGCAGCTGGAGTCGGCTGTGATGGAGGCACCCTGTGCAAAGACCCAAGGCCTCGGGTTGCCAAGAATAATCAGCAAGAAAGCAGGGATTTGGGCCTATAACCACAAGGAAGCCATTCCACCAACAGGCTGAATGAACCCGGAAGCAGGTTCAGCCCCAGACCCTGTAGAGAGGAGCACAGCCCTGTCCAGCGGGCCTTAGGCCATCTCTAGTGTCCCTCTGACTTGTGCATGGGACCAGAGCACACCACTTTGGCATAAGGATGACTCTGAGCTGGAGGCAAATGAGAACCAACAGATTCAGAAGGATGCCTACCCAGAACCTCCTTCATCTGGGTGAAAGCAGAAATGCCTGAAAAGGGAGGGCTGCCAGGAATCCCCTCTCCCAGATAGAGTTTTATGGCTGAAAAGAAGATGGGACCTCTCTGGGCCACGAGGGACCTGCATGAACCAGCCTTACTTACTTCATTAGTTTCTCTGTGCATTTACCTTCCCACAGTTGGCTGCCCTTGAAGCCTGACTCCCCTTCCTTTTTTTTTTTTTTAATGTTATTTATTTTATATTTGGCTGCACTGGGTCTTCGCTGCTGTGCACGGGCTTTAGTTGGGTCGAGCGGCAGCTACTCTTTAGTTGTGATGTTCGGGCTTTTTATTTCAGTGACTTTTCTTGACTTCTCTTATTTCAGAACATGGGCATGAAAGGGCATGCAGGCTTCAGGAGCTGTGGCATGTGGACTCAGCGAGTGGTTCCCAGGCTCTAGCGCACAGGCTTCACAGTTATGGCAAATAGGCTTATTTGCCCCAAGGCATGTGGCATCTTCCACGACCAGGGATCTAACCCGTGTCCCCAACACTGGTGGGTAGACTTTAAACCCCTGGACCACCAAGGAAGTCCTCCCCTTCCTTTATCTCGTCACTTTTCTGAGGATTTGGTCTTCTTTTGTTAAGATGCTATAGAAGCCCTGGTTCTAACCACACCTGCTCCCAGGTGTATGCACAACGTACATGTCAACACTCTTGTGTTTGTTTTTCTCTTGTTAATCTGCCTTTAGTCAGTTAATTTTACAGGGCCCGGGCCAGAGAACCTAGGAGGGTAGAAGGAAAAAGAATTTTTCTTCCCCTACACTGACTACACTGGAGCCAGGCTGTGCTTCTCACGGCCTCCCCTCTGAAGCCTGAGATGAGGGACAGAGGCTGGGATGGGGACAGGACCGCCGCAGGGGGCCTGCTGGAGGATGGTCGTACGGGGGTGTGTTGAGAGCACACGGCAGGTGCTTCAGCGAGACCGCTACAGCGAGGCCGCCCCAAACGTGGGGGCCCCAGCTGGCACCCCTCCGTTTACCTGTGTGAGCTGATACTCCCTGCCTCTGTGCTCTGGGCTTTCTCTGTGAAAGCCTGCCTGTGGGGGGTCTCATCCTGCATCACCCGAAGGCCCAAGCCCCAGGCCTCTGGTGCGCCGGGGGCCCCACTAGGCACCTCCTGCACTTCCCACGGTTCCCTTCATCCCCTGTGAGGTGATGGACCCTGCTCTTTTCCTTAAAAAAAAAAAAAAATTATTTGTCTGCCCTGGATCTTTAGTTTCATCATGTGGGATTTAAGTTCCCAGACCAGGGATTGAACTCAGGCCTCCCGTATTGGGAGCATGCAGTCTTAGCCACTGGACCACCAGGGAAGTCCCTCCTCTCCCCACCTGCACAACGACACCATGAGACTATCATTGCCCCTTGTAGCCCTGAACTAGCTCCCAACTACCACCCGTGAGGGCTCCTTCCTGGCAAAAGCCACCACTGGGGAAAGGCCCGGAGGAGAGACGAGCCTGGCGGCCCCGGGACCCACAAGGGGCTGACAAGGAGGAGACCTGCGGGGTCTGCGGGCCACTCTGCGTCCAGGACTCAGAGGAGCAGAAAGCAGCTGTGGGCTGGGAGGACAGGAGCCCCTCTGCGTGTGGGGGCTGCTGAGGAGGGATCCCAGGCTGCAGCGTCCCCCTGAAACTGGAGACAACGGGAGGCCATGGACGGGAACACCCGGGAAGAAACCTCCACAGGCCCGCCGGCTCATCGCATGCGGACAGCGGGAGCCGCGGGGCGGCCTGAGTCACCGGGCAGGGGCCAGGCAGGTGCCGCTCTCCCCAAGGCCTCGGTGGTCCTTGGAGGACAGGGGGTGAGGTGGGGAGGCCAGGGAGAAGGCTGCCTGCACGTGTGGGGTCTCGGGGGGATGTGTTTGAGGGAAGGGGGTCCTGGACGTGCCACAGCAACCTCCAGAGCTGGCCTCGAATGCCTGGCCATGATGACCGGGTGCCTGAGCCCCACGCACGGCCGCTGTCTCCAGCCGGGGGGACTCTGAAGGCTGGGGACCCCTCCTCCAGCGGCCCCCACACGCCAAGGGGCTCCTGTCCTCCCAGTGCACACCTTCCACAGCTCCTTTCTGCTCCTCTGGGTCCTGGACTCCGCGGCCCCGTGCAGGCCCCAGCTCTCTCTCCTCCAGGCCTTTCCAGGCCACCTGCACCGGCCCGGGGTACAGCCCCGAGGGAGGCCAGCGCCCACGCCCGCGGTGTGTGGTGAGACGCGGGCGCAGCTCACCAGCAGGGAGGACGATCAGAGGCTGTAAGAGAGGCACGGGGGGCTCAGCGGACCAAGGTCAGGTCTGGGGCAGGCGGCAGGGCGGGATGGGGTAGGAAGGGGGTGACCAGGTGCAGGGGGTGGGCACCAGAGCCTCAGGGTGGAGCTGGGACACTCAGCAGGCAGAGGGGCCCCAGGACCGCGCACCTCGGTTCCCAGAGAGGGACCCGCACAGAGGGACCCTGGTGTCTCCTTCTGTCTGTCCATCCATCTGTCTGTACCAGGCCCATGGCTGGCATTCCTGCCACCACGCTCTTGTTTTCGTGAGACAAAGGACCTGGCAAGCAGATGATAAGAACTACAAATAGAGGAAAACGGGCATGGGATGGAGGGGATGGGAGAAAGCACAGGTGACTTTGTAAATGGATCACGTGACTCAGTGCAAACAAGGGTGTCTGAGCCGCACCACCAGGAGAGCAGGGCAGTTTTTGGGTCTGGGAGGGAGGTCAGCGACCCCACATCCTGAGCACAGAAGCACCCCTGGGATGACAAGAGAAACCATGGAAGCAGGAGCTGGGTGGGGCCTCAGGCAGGACCCTGGGGAGAAGCAAAAGGAGAGCAGGACTGGGGCACAGAACCGCCTGGCGGTGGGCGCAAGTTTTATTTTTAAAAAATATTTATTTGGCTGCACCCAGTCTTGGCTGAGGCACACAGGATCTTAAGTCTCTGCGGTGACACACGGGATCTAGTTCTCTGACCAGGGTTCCAACCCAGGTCCCCTGCATCGGGAGTGCAGTCTTAGCCACTGGACCACCAGGGAAGTCCCTGCAATTTTTAGAAGGGAGGTCAGTGTCACTGAGAAGGGCACTGACCTGAGGGGGTGGGAGGGGGGTGGGAGTGAGGGGCTCCCTGGCCAGCACCCAGGAGGCCCACTCAGGCCGGAGGAGTATCCTGCAGAGTGGAGGTCCAGGCAGAGGCACTGACAGATGGAAGGGCCAGCAAGGAGACCCCAGGATCCCAAGGTGCCGCCCCAGGGTTTTGGGGGAGGGTCATATTGGCACCAGGTGTTCAGGCTGAGCATCCAGAGGCGAGAAGGACATAGGTGTCCTGGACCCTCAAACTGCCCGTGTGCAAGTTGGGGGGGGGGGCAGGTTTCAGTCCAGGTCCTGGCGTTCATCTAAGGCCTTCAGGTCGGCTCTGCTCGGCCCCCAGCATCACCCAGCCCCATCCCGAGCCCCGCAGTCTCACTGTCCACATCCATTTTACCTACATTACCAGTAGCTCTCAAGGTGATCAAAAAGTACTGCATTTTCAAAGAGAACTTGTTCTGGTAAAAACACTCCCCACTTCCCCTCCCCACACTCTTTCCTTTGCTTTCCGTTTCACAGAAATACCTGGTCCTCACCAGCTTTGCTCTCAAGAGCAAAAGCATAATAAACACCTTTTTCAAAGCCCCACTGCTTAACCCTTCAGCCCAGTCTTGGCCAGTTTCCTCTGGGTCCCTGGGTCGTCATAGTACCATTTTCTTTTTTAATCAATAGATCCTAAATGTGATTTGTTAGAACAATTATTAACTCAGATCTTTACCATTTGAAGCACTCATGCAAACTGATTCCAAAACAAAACACCAAGTCCCAAGGGTAAGTGGACCAGGAACACAAACTAAAGTCTGTCTCTCGTACACACACACAGACATGCACACACACGCTGGGGTGAGGTGGGCTGGGGCGGGGTGAGCCCACCAGATGGGGCTCCTGCAGCCTGGCCCTGCAGTCCCAGGCCCTCCCACGTGCAGAGGTTCCGCGACAGGGAGAAGCATGGCCAGAGGCGAGGGAGGCCCTTCTGCTGTCTCATTCGCCTCTTCTGTAAAATGGGACCATAACCTGCTCGGAGGGTCTCCTGGAGGTGGTTTGAGCCCTGGCCCGGAGCAGGGCTCACACAGTGTGGGAGTGTCTCATGAACTGTTATGGACTGTGTCTCCCTAGAGTTTAACATGACTGCATTTGGAGGTGGGGCCTTTAAGGAGGCAATTAAGCTTAAAGGGGCCCAGATCCCATAGGACTGGTGCTATTATAATAAGAGGGCGAGACAGCAGGAGGGGGGGTGGCAGCTGTCTATAAGCCTACCCACGACGCCACCCTGATCCTGCACGTCTCGCTTTCAGAAGCATGAGAAAGTACATTCTGTTGTTTAAGCTGCCCTGGCTGTGGCACTGTGTTAGGGCAGCGCCTTGGGCTTGAAAGTGCCACTCTGCACGTCCTCGCTTTCAACAAGGGCTCCTGCCCTGCTCCTGCGCTCTGGACAACGCCCCAGTGCAGGGAAGGCACGCCTTGGGCCCCAGTCAGGTCAAGAAAGTCAAGGAAGTGAAAGTCGCTCAGTCGTGTCCGACTCTGCGACCCCACGGACTGCAGCCCGCCGGGCCCCTCTGTCCATGGAAATCTCCAGGCAAGAGTACTGGAGTGGGGTGCCATTTCCTCCTCCAGGGGATCTTCCCAACCCAGGGATCGAACCCAGGTCTCCCACATTGCAGGCAGATTCTTTACCGTCTGGGCCACCAGGGAAGCCCCAGACCCACACAGACAAACAGACCCATCTGGAATTACACACTAATGTTATACCATAAGCCCTGACTCTAGACTCATCACAGAACCTTTTGTTAAAAAAAAAGTAGGGAACGCAATCTGCTGCAACTGTTTATTATATTCAGAAGTCTACAAATTTGAGCTTTTAAGAAAAATTCACAAAATACTCAGTTGAAACCACATATCTGGTTCATCAAATTTCGAATATATTTTACTGTGCTGAACAATATATTCTAATGCTGTCTAAAACACAGCCAAATTATTTTTCATTCATTTGTACACATTCTGTCATTTTTTGAAAGCCAAGATTAAGATAAAAAATATTAAGAAAACTACCCAATTACAACTACTATTTCCCCATAAACTGAAATATTTTCTGTGGGTGTATCTTCTCACCTTATTCATTTTTTAGTTCTGTACACCATATCGATTTATAAATGCACTTAGGGAGTTCTCATCTTCCATTTCTCATATATCCAAACAGCGACACCTTGTCAAAGGATTAATTTGCTTGGCAATGCAGAAGCTCGGGCTGTTAAAAGCACTTACTGAAAATTATTTTAAAATTTATAGATCATATAAAACAAACAATTTCAAAGGGACAGACGTCTTTAGACATTATTTTGAAATTACCTTAAGATATGGAAGTATCGATGAATCAATCTATCAAATTAGACACCAGCTATTTTTGGTCTTTTATTTTTATTCTTTGTTCTCTTTTTAATGAAGCGCGTGTTGTAAGTTTTGTTTCTCCAGGCCCTTCTTGTATCAGCTGATTCGGGCAACCTTTAGCCCATGAGTCTCACTGCGCTGAGACACACTCCCCTCCCCTCCCCCAGTGAAGAGAGCCCAAGGAGCCCTTGACTCCAGACCTCCGAAGTTGTTAGAACCAAAGATTCCAAGGAAATAAAGCAGGGATGTGCATGGATATGCCAGACGGAAGTAACACAAAACCAAAATTACAATGAAGTTTCTACTACATCAAAAACGAGAATTTCTCAAAAGAAATATTAAAAATCAGCCTTGAATACATATCTACCACGAGAAAATGTAGCAGAACAATCTTCCCAAAGCCAGCTGGTCTTCACTGCAGCCCGTGATGTGGTCACTGGTTCACGAAAAGAGGACTTTCTCCAGGAAACACGCACCGCCAACATCAGTGTTAAGAACCGTAGCGATCCTACAGAGAGAACCAACACGAGAGTTCACCAGTGTCAGCATCGGTTCTGCATTCTCAGCACCACCGAAACGGATGCCTCAGTGACTGGAGCCCGCACCCGGGGAAGCGGGAACTGGAGCCCCTGGGCGGCGGGAAGGGCCGTGAGGGGCGCAAGGCCATGCGGTGAGCCCCCCGGGAGGCAGTGTAATGGGGAGACAGAGGCACACATGTGGAGCGCGAAACCCGAAATTCTGGGCCAGCTGAGTGGTCTCACAGGAGCAGCTCAACCTCTGTGCCTCTGTTTCTTCATTTACAAAATGGGGATGATCATCTATAAAGAGGGATGTCACCTCCTTGGAAGGACTGATGTGGGCACGGCTGACCTAAGGGACATGAAAGAGCTCTGGGAATTCTAACCAAAGCTTGCACCGACAACAGCCACTGGCCCAGGGCGGAGGAAGCCTCCACAGCAGGGGTGCCTCCCCAACCTGGAAGACCCCCATTAGAGGCATCAGAGTTCACGTCTATCAGGTCCTGCTCTCTGTGGCTGCATTTCCCATTCCTAAGTGTCCTAAAATAACCTGATGTAAGCAGGAAGGTGTACGGAATAGCCTTCGGATAATCAGAGCCGGCCTTAAAGTGTTATACACAAGTGTGTTCCACCCTTGCCTCATTTAAAAGATTGAAACATACAATCTAAAATCTCAACTTGGGGAATAGTTAAATAAATTACATGTATTTTTGCTCAATAAAATGTACTGAATAGCTTCCGAAGAATTTTGAATTACATGGAAGTGCTTATAACAAAACATCAGGAAGAAAAAGAGGATATAAAACCACATATACAATATAATCCTTTAACATTTTTCAACAGGTATGCATAGAAATCTAGAATTAAAATAGAATAAACCAAAATATTAATGAACATTTTCCTTGGGAGGTGGGGTTATGGGCAATTTTTAACTTTGTTCTTAATATTTTTGTTTTTTAATATAAGAGAAACGTAGGTAATGATCATGACAAATCCTGTAACAATTCCTCTGGAGTCATAAACTAGAAAATTTAAACAAATATGAAATTACAAGTTCTGGTTTTCATGATGTCCTGGGTTACACTGTAGCAAACACATAAATCGAAAATATAAAATCTAATTTTCTAGCAATTAAAGAGTGGTCCAAATCTCATTTTCAAAACTACGAACCCACCATCGAACTCAGTTACCGTCGTCCCCATCTCACTGACCTGAATGGAAGTCATGACTCCGTTAGCAAAGACGGAGAGCTTTCCGGCAACCGATCGCACTCCCTGCTTGAACTGGGCCATGTCGGGGGCTGTGGGCAGCACGCTGGTGAGGGTGTAGCTTCCTGCAGGCAGAGCAGACGCAGGCTTGTCACTGTCACTCCACCGCAGCGACAGCGCAGCCAGCGTCCAGGGACTGGGCAGCTTGGAGGGCGCGCCCCCCTCCCCTCTGCTGCCCACGGGCAGCAGCCGTGGTTACGGGACAGGACCCGGGGGTGGGTTTCAGTGCCAGCCCCACCACGAACCAGCGGCAAGACCCCACGGTGAGTGAGGACACAGCACTAGGCCTTAGGACCATCAGGGGCTCAAATGCTGGCACTGACACTTCCAAGCTGTGTGTCTTTGGAGAGATTCCTTACCCTCTCTGGGCCCCTGTTTCTTCCAGGCACTTAACACAAGACCTGACAGGTAAGAACTCAGTATGTGGCAGATGGGTGGACATCAGTAGGTTTTTCGGGCTCAGCATCAGTTCCCACTTCCGGTGAAAACCCTCCTCCCTTCTTTGGGAGGTCTCTTCCCTGATCCCCACCCCCTCAAACCACATGTGGGCACGTGACCCAGACCTGGCCAATCAGAGCCTTCCTGGGATTCCTGTCTACTCAAGGGAGGGGACTGTCCGCTTGCTCTGGGGTTACTGGCGGGACAGCGAACTGCTGCAGCTGTCTGGGGCCAGGGCTGCCCCCTCCCCTCCAGACCTCAAGGAGGAGGAGGAGGAAGCCCATCTCAGAGCAAGAGAAGGAGGCTCACCCGGGCAGCTGGCCAGACGGGCAAGGCTCCTGACGGCCAGCTCCCAGGCAGAGGCTGACTCCTCACCCTCATCGAGGCCCGGGTCAGCTGGGTCTCTCTGCTGCCTAGGTTTTGGTTCATCCCAGCACAGACACACACACGTGGCCACCAGCCCAAGTGATGTGCGTCTGAGTCATCACCCATCGAGGGTCTCTGAGCCGACAGCTGGGCTTTGGTGGTGAGCTCCTGTCACTCAGCTGTGATCAGGCACTGGAGGGGCTCAGAGACTGAGTGGCCCCAAACCTGAGGTCCCCCTGAGCCAGCCCAGCTGACCTCAGCTCCACATGCGACCCGTCTACACCCACCTGCCCCTTAAGCAGTAGAAGCCAGGTCTCTTGCCAGGAACAAAACAGAAGCCACGCGTTTACCCTCCAGCACAGGGGCCACCAGGAGAGACCCTGTGTTTCCCACAGCACTGTTCCCATGCTGACCAGTGGGAGAGGGGCCCAAGGGCGGCTGCCTCTCCTGCTCTGCCTCCAGGTGACTTTTTAAAATTCAGTAGCCCTTTGCCGACGACTTCCCATGTGGCTCAGCTGGTAAAGAATCCGCCTGCAATGTGGGAGACCTGGGTTCGATCCCTGGGTTGGGAAGATCCCCTGGAGAAGGGAAAGGCTACCCACTCCAGCATTCTGGCCTAGAGAATTCCATGGACTATACAGTCCATGGGGTCACAAAGAGTCGGATACAACTGAGCGACTTTCACTCACTTCACTTGCCAACAACAGAGCGGCAGCCTAGCCCAAGGGTGGGACTTGGGTTCGAAACCCAGAGCTGCCAGCCTGTGGGATGAGTAGGAGAAACAAAGAGCTTGTGGGGGACCCTGAGCGCAAAGGGCCGGAGTCACAGCTGCTCCGCGACGTCCAGAGGTCAGCGGAGGGGACCTCGGCAAAAGCGCCTCCAGTTACAAGTTTCCAACTCAGCAGCATTTAAAGGGGAGGGTGAGGTCGAGGCGGGAGGTTTAAGCTGGAATCAGAGCGCGACGGGTGCACGGACATCCCTTCGCTCAGGCTGACGCGACTCCAGATTGTGCGGCTGAACTGGCCGGTGACCCCACCGCACAGCTGTGACATGCGACACGCATGCTCAGCAAGTCGCCAGGCAAAACTGCCCGACAGCCGACTGAGGTCCGTGCTTTGGAGGCCAACAGACCCCAAGAGGCCAGGTTCCTGGGCTCAGCGAGCCAGAGCCAGGAGGACAGGGGAGGGTGGCTGAGGGGCCTCACGGGAGCCTCAAGATCCAGGGACGACAGCAAACACGCCGGCAGTCCCCATGTGATGCCGGGCAAGTGTGCATGGAGCCTGGACACAGGCGGCCGCAGCGCCCTGGCAGTCCCACGAGCCCTATTTAGACTCAGATGATTGGAGTCATTTCTGGGAAGAAATACCCTAGAGGGGCAAGCTGGGTCTGCAGTTTCTTCTGTTCCAGCGCTGCGCTCACAAAGCTACCTCTGCCGCCATTGGTGCGCTGAGTGGCGACCTCTGAGGCAGTGCCTGGCGATGGCAGGCCCGGCTGACCCTGCTCTAGAGTGGCGACCTCTGAGGCAGTGCCTGGCGATGGCAGGCCCCGGCTGACCCTGCTGTAGGGTGATCGTGGTGGCTGCTTATATGTGTTCCTCACCCAGTCCCTCCAAGATCCTGGAAGCGAACGGTGCCCCCGGAAATGCCAGTGTTAAACCACACCCCCAGAAAGTACTTTTGCTTCACCAGGAGGCATTTCCAATCTGGAACTGTCTTCCCCTGACCTCCAAAGAGATTATAAAGGTGACTGTGATCCACCCCATGTACCGATACTTCATAGATGGGGGAAACAGTCTAAGATGAGGAACACAGAACATGCTCTTAAAACCAGCCTTTGCCCTTTGTTGAAATGCACTCTAAATAAAGGGGTAAATATTTAACGAGAGTTGTTCAATGCGCTCCCATTTACAGCAGTTATTAAAGGCATCTGATGACAGATGTGGAGATGAGAGGGGAGTTGTGGTCTGAACCGTGTGGGGGTCTGGAATGGAGAGAGTTGTAGGCCCTTGGCCACTGGGGAGGGGCTGGGGTCCCTGCGCGGCCTCGCATAACCAGCGCACCCCCATTGTGACTGCAAGTCCTCAGGATGGGAGTTGTCTTGGACCCACAAGGGCCAAGAAAATTAATGGACCTTTGTTCTCTGAAAGGGGACAGGAAGGTAAACATAGACTGGCTGCAGCCCGCCTTCAACAATTGGAAAAGGCTGCTCATTTGCTCTCTGAAGGCTTTTTTTTTAACAAACAATGTTTCAGAGTGAGACTTCCAGAAACTTGAATTACAAAACTTGAATTACAAAAACACAGACAGCTGGGGGTGATTTTCAAACCTGATAGGTTCTCTGGCAGCCCTGCCTCTGTGCCAGGGCGCCGGCAAGGAGGCAGGCCTGACCCATGGGCCGGGCCAAGCACCCCTCTGCCGGGGGATGGGGGGCTGTGGGGGGGGGTGGTGGCCACACAAGGAAATCACCCGGAAGAGAGGCCGGGACGCTGAAAGTTCACAGATGAGAATGCAGCTTCTGCCGAGGCCAGAGGGCGGCCCTGCTCTGCCTGTCTCCGGATCGGTGCTTGGGGGGGTGGACCTGGGGGACAGCTGGACCCCTCCCTCTCCCCTTTCGCCACAGCGCAGCAGCCTGGCAGTGCCTGCTGCACCCCGAGGGCCATGGTGGCTCTTGAGACGCCCCCCAAACCCCATCACAGAAGGCCCAAGGCACTGGGGTCTCCCCCATGGCCTTCTCTGTTCAGGCTGTTTCTCTCTGGGCTTCTCTGTGGCTGCAGGGCCGCTCGTGTGGGTCCCTCCCTGCCTGCGCCCAGCTCCTCCAGGGCTGGAAACAAGGGTGCAGGTGGTGCTGGGCCCCGAAGGCCTTGGAGAGCCCCCTTCCCCGGGCGCTCCTGCTGACGAGTGGGCTCCTGAAAGGACCTCAGAGGACCCTGCCCCTGGAGAGTTGGCTGTGACTCAAGAGAGACACTGGCCCTTCCCTGCCCCCAAGGCCTGACAGAGCAGGACAGGAGCAGACCCACAGCTGAGGGTCAGAGGCCCAAGCAGAGGCGTGTGGTTCTCAATGTCCGTGATGGGCCTGTGCGCTGAGGCTCACTACCTGGGGCGCCCAGACATCTCCTCATCTGGGTCTGGACCCTCCTCTCCACCTGCTCCAAAGCCCCATCTGTCTCCAGGGAAGGCGGTGGCTGGTGGAGTCACCTGTTCCATCTGCCTTGCCTACTCCTGGGGCCTGGGAGGGGCCCCTGGGGGCCTGCCGTGTCCAGATCCCAGGGGGCACTTGATAGAAAGTACCCCATTTATGCCCCAGTACATGCTTGTGAGGCGGGTATTATCCACCTACTTTACAGAGGAGAAGACTAAGACTGAAGGCAACCTGAAATACTCCAGGACTCACAGTTAGGGAGTGGCTCACGTCACACAAGAGCCCAGGACTGTCCCCTCCAAGGCTGTGACACCATACAAAGTAGATCTCATGTCCACACTGTGCTAGGAAACCCACCCATCCCCCCACACCCCTGCTGCCGTGACAACACTTCAGGAAGACAACTTCCTGAAACTGCAGGTAACTTTGGGGAGGTTGCTTAAATGTCATGACCTGACCTCTTCACATGCAAAGCCTGGAACAATAACTTCCGCTCTGCCTGACTTACAGGGGCTGTGTGTGTGTGTGTGTGTGTGTGTGTGTGTGTGCGCGCGCTCAGTCCCTAGGAGCATCAAATAACGGCTGCCAACAGTCTTGGAAAGGTAAGAAGTCCCATGCGGAGAAGATGGAGGCGCAGTGGAGACCAGCCTCATCGCCCACCCGCCGCCCTGCCGGTTACCTGCCGTCTGCTTCCTCTGCTCATCAAACAGGTCAGCTGAGCTGATGGAAGAACTTGCCGAAAGCCTCTCCAGCCGAGCCCTGGCTTCGTACTAGAGGAGAGTAGCAAGAAAAGGAAAGTCAGGCTCCAAAATCATGAGCAATTCTGCAGAAAGGATCACTGAGGAGCTATCACGGCGCTGGGGTCCCACAGTCACAAGCAGACAGATCAATGTCCAAAGCCAGGCCAAGGACGGTCCATGGGGGGAGCCCAGAGTGAGGGTGACAGTGACAGCTCAGTCACAGTGCTGCCGTCACCCAGCTGCCAAGAAAGGGCACTCTACAGGCCTCTCTCCCGATAGCCTTGTTATCTGCTAACTGAACTTGAGTGTTGTCCACTTTAAGACAAGGCCGAGTTTAGGGGGTGGAGAACAACCAAGTGGCAGGTCTAAATACTCTCAAAATGCTGGTGGAATTTCTACTGTTACAAAATAAACTCAGTACACTTCAGGAAATAATTCTCTGCATTGTGCAAGAAGCCTAGTGATAACCCGTATCGCTAAGAATTTCGTGTAAGCACACGACTACTTCACAAGGAGAAGGGACCTTTCAGGTTCCCCATTTCCATCTGAGTCTTACTGTTCAGCCAGACTCCACTGAGATAAGCTCATTAACATCTCCGAGAAAAGAGGCAACAATCTCTCTTCTGAAAATAAATATACCTACCTTCGAGAAACAGCTATATACTTCATTTAGCTATGGTAAAGAAAATTAGTAAGGAAATTACAGGTGTATCAAAAATTCCTGAAATTTATTCAAAAGATATTGAATGGATGGCTATTGAAAACACTGGGAAAGGAATAAGCGGAAGATGTAACACAGGCTGTACCTCCCCATCACTCTTCTAGCTGGGGCAGCCAAGTGGGACCGTTAGGCAGAAAGACGTGGGTCCGAGTCCTGCCCTGGGGACAGGGGAACCTTGCAGCCTGAGTCCATCTCACTTAGTGCTCAGCACCTCCTCCCACGCCCCTGGCTTGCTCTCTACTCTGTGGGGACCACACAGAACCTCTCTGGACACTTACATCAGCTTTGGCTTGCCTTCCAAAGTACATATCTGAGGAAATGGCTTTGACGTTGCCAAACTTCTTCTGGGCCTCATCTGAATTTTCAGCTGGCTCATAGTCTGGCTTGCGGCGAGTGGTAGGTCTACAGTTAGAAACAGTCAAGGCAGGAGTGACATCAACAAGGTAGTGGAGCAGGAGTCTTTCACATTATCCCCCAGAGAACACTGGTGTGTGTGTGTGTGTGTGTGTGTGTGTGTGTCAGTGTATAATCTGGCTGATTTTTGTTTTTATTTATTTGGCTGTACCAGGTCTTAGCCTCCCCAACCAGGGATTGGACCCACCCCCTGAGCAATGGACGCGCAGGGCCCGGAGAGCCCCGAGAACACTGGCTCTGACAGCCGCCCACAGGTGAGCGTGCCTTTGTGGGAGCCCAGGGGCCCAGCAGAGAGGCCAGCTCGCCGCTGGCGCAGAGAAAAGCCAAGGCTGGCTGCACTGAAGGGCGTAAGAGCAAGAGTTTCACTGTGCTCGCATTACTCCCCCTCCAAGGCAGCGCTGCTCAGTGCCAAGCAAGGCCCACTGGGCCTGCCGTCCTTCCCCGAGGGAAAGGCACGAGGCAGGGGGGAGGTGCCTGGTTTCCCAGGATGCCTCGGGCCTCCTCATCCACCCGGAACACTGAGGGGATCGACGTGGCTGAGGCGCTGGGAGGGGCTGCCAGGGCTGAGAACCCATCAAAGGCATGCGAATTCTACTAACCACTTCCTGGACTCCACGGGCAGGCCTGCTCACAAACCACGGGCTGCACTTTGCCTGTGGAGCCCCCAGTGGGCCCGAGGGGGCCCTCCAGGGCTGACCTATGAACTCTCCCTCCCTGTACACGCCCTGCTAAGTGCAAGCCCATGCAGACAGCCTGACTCTGGGCTGGCAGAAAAGTGCACTGACTTCAACCTCCCAGGGCCCCATCCTAGGGGAAGCAAGCAGGAGGCTCTCATCCCTGTGTGTGGGACGGAGAGAGGACAGGCCATCTTAAGACTTCACCCCCCTAAAGGGGTAAGCAGGGAGGAGAGAGTCATCCACAGAAAAGGTCTGAGAACGCCCCAGCATCTCCAGCAGGGCCGACGGTTGATGGCATTTCTCATCCAAAGCTGAGCAGGGAAGACCTGAGGGAGTGATTCCTCCTTCAAATGCAAAGACAGCAACACAAGACTCCAAAAACAGGAAACGTGATATCACAAGAAGAAACAGTAATTTTCTAGTAACCAACCCCAAATAATTGCCTGACAAAGAATTCAAAATAACTGCTTTAAGGAAGCTGATCAACTTTCTAGCTTCAAGCACAAGCTAGAATCAAGATTACTCAGGGGATATATCAATAACCTCAGATATGCAGATGACACCACCGTTATGGCAGAAAGCGAAGAGGAACTAAAGAGCCTCTTGATGAAAGTGGAAGAGGAGAGTGAAAAAGCTGGCTTAAAACTCAACATTCAAAAAATGAAGCTCATGGCATCCGGTCCCATTACTTCATGACAAATAGATGAGAAACAATGGAAACAGTGACAGACTTTATTTTCTTGGGCTATAAAATCACTGTGGATGGTGACTGCAGTCATGAAATTGACAGATGCTTGCTTCTTGGAAGAAAAGCTAAGACCAACCTAGACAGCATATTAAAAAGCAGAGACTTTACTTTACTAACAAAGGTCCGTATAGTCAAAGGCTATGGTTTTTCCAGCAGTCACATATGGATGTGAAAATTAAAGAAAGCTGTGTGCCGAATAATTGATGCTTTTGAACTGTTGAGTTGGAGAGTCCCTTGGACTGCAAGGAGATAAAACCAGTCAATCCTAAAAGAAATCAGCCCTGAATATTCATTGGAAGGACTGATGCTGAAGCTGAAGCTCCAATACTTCGGCCACCTGATGCAAAGAAATGACTCATTGGAAGAGACCTTGATGCTGGGAAAGACTGAAGGCAGGAGAAGGGGATGACAGAGGACGAGATGATTGGATGGCATCACCAACTCAATGGACATGGGTTTGAGCAAGCTCTGGGAGTTGGTGAAGGACAGGGAGGCCTGGCGTGCTGCAGCCCATGGGGCCGCAAAGCGTGAGACACAACTGAGTGACTCAACAACAACTCTCTGTCTATATACATACATACATATATATCTGAATCACTTTGGTGTACACCAGAAACTAACACCACATCGTAAATCAACTGTACTTCAATTAAAAAAAAAAGAAGGAAAGAATATCTTGAAACAAATGAAAATGGAAACACTTAATGGGATACAGCAAAAGCAATACTAAGAGGGAAGTTTAAGGTCAACAGGTATATGAAAAGGTGACCAACATCACTAATCATCAGGGAAAGGCAAATCAAAACCTCACACCTATTAGAATGGCCATTGTCAAGAAGATGTGAGATAAGCGTTGGTAAAGACTGGAGAACAGGGAAACTTTGTGCACCAATGGTGGGAACGGAAATTAGTACAGCCAAATGGGAAACAGTACAGAAGTTCATCAGAAAGTTAAACATAGAACTGCCAAGTGATCCCACTTCTGGGTATAAATCTGGAGGAAACAAAGTTGGTATCATGAAGAGATCTCTGCAGCCCATGTTCATGGCCAAGGTTTTCACTGCAGTCAACTCATGGAAACAATCTGTGTATCTGTCAGTGGGTGAATGGATAGAGAAAATATTATCCCACATACACAATGGGATAACATTCTGCTATAAAACAGAAGGAACCCCTGCCACTTATGACAATGGGGATGAACCTGGGGGACATCACATGAAGTCAGACAGAGAAAGACAGATACTGTATGTCCTCACTTGTGGGAAGAAATCTAAAATTTTTTTAAAAAGGTTGAACTCAAAGAAACAGAAACTAGAACAGTGGTTTCCAAGGCGGTGGGGGAAATGGGTAGACGCTGGTCAGAGGGTACAAACTCTTCATCATTTATAATAAGAAGAGTAAGTTCTGGGGACCCAACACCCAGCACAGTGATTAGTTAATAACCTGTAGTGTTACTTGAACTACAGGAAGACAGCAGATCTGAAGTGTGCTCAGCCCAAAGAACAAAAACAGCCAAAGTAGGTTAAACTAATTTGAGGTAAGGCAAATGCATTTCTCATTTATAACGTAAGCACATGCCATTTTACTTTTTAAAAAGCCAACAACAGTAATTCTGTAAAGGGATTTTAGGCCACTTAAAAAAGCCTGTAAATTCTATTTAGAAAAAAATGAATAAATATCCAAACCACACAACATTTGAAGGAATTCTGCTACTTAAAAGAGGCCTGTAATTTGACTTCAGTTCCATGGATCAAATACTGAGTTCTGAGTTGTGACGCAGGTGAAACAGTGTTCCATGTTACACAGGATGCAAATGAGTAGGGTGGCAGCACACCCCAGGCACCGAGGACAATTCCAGGTCACACTTATTGTCCCAACGTGCTAGGACTGTTCCCCTACACTCCCAGCAGTTCCCTGGTTTGGATGACATGTTAGCCCTTCATTGATGAGCACCAGAAACTGGAGACAGTTCTTCGATAGGTAGATGGATAAACAGACTCAACGATAAAGAGGGATGAACACAGCAACACACACAAGTCTCAAGCGCACTACGGAACGTTGGAGAAGTCTGTCTAACAAGGCCAGTTACTGCTCGACTCCAGTATACGAGCTTCTGGGAAAGGCAAAGCTGTAAGTTCAGCAGACAGACCAGGATACAAAGAATATTCTTGAAATAGTATTCATTCATTTACTAGGGTTAGAGAATTCCCCTGGAGATGTGCGTGGAATCACAGTTTACAGCCCCACCCCTCTGGGGTCCATACCTGTCCATATAGCCTGTGTTTTTCGGAATTGGGTCAGTGTCTTTGATGGTCTCTTTCTTCCAATAGGAATCTGAACTGTCATCCCAGCTAGAGAAAGAACTGCTCCTTAACTCCATGGGATCGTCAAAGAACCTGTATGGGAGAGAGCAGAAGAGAGGCTTTGGAGGACCTTACTGATGTCCACTCACATTGGGTACGTGGGGACTGCACTTTCCAGACCCCCTTGAAGCTGGGGGCGGCCGTGCGATGTGGCCAGTGCAACAGGAGCAGACACAAGGCCAGTCACTCCCAAGGCCTTTCGGGTGCCCAGTCCTCTCTCCCCTCCCAAGTGGAAGGGGTCGTGTTTTCCAGGTGCTGTAGCTTCAGGCAGGTGAAACCACCATCCACCTGGACAATCAAGATGCCACCAGAAGGACAGATAATCTATATCCTTAGCTGACTTTAGTGAACAAAGAAATAAATCATCACTGCACTAAGCCCTTAAGATCTGGGGGGAATATTTATCACTGCGGCATAACCTAGCCTATCCCAACAGCACAGGACATCCTTGAGGGTTACCCGACTATAGGCTGGTCATGAATAACGCTTCAGGAGGGCTTCCCTGATAGTTCAGTCGGTAAAAAATCTGCCTGTAAAAAAAAAAAAAAAAATCTGCCTGCAATGCAGGAGACCCAGGTTCAATCCCTGGGTGGAGAAGATCCCCTGGAGAAGGAAATGGCGACCAACTCCAGTATTCTTGCCTGGAAAACCCCATGGAAAGAGGAGCCTGGCAGGCTACAGTCCATGGGGTTGCAAAGAGTCAGACGTGACTTAGTGACTAAACCACCATCAGTGCTTTAAGGCCTGTAGAACTGATCCCATTCTAGGAGTTCCTTGTTGGTAACCCTGCCATGTCAGCCCCGGATAAGACATCACTCCTAACAGAAACCACCACTTAGTGTAAGTGATGCTAATTGGCTTCTTCCTGGGGTCAGATGCAGAGCTACGATTGTTGATCACGGGACCATCCTGCAGAAGCTCTTTCAGACTGGGGCCTGAAGTGGACTTGGTCAGTAAGCATCTCAGGGGGGACGCTGGCCTGCTGGGCCAGTTTACACTTTTGTTAGCTGATCATCATTGAGCAGGGCATGTCTCAGAGAGCAAAACTCAATGGCAGTTCAGGTCCTGTGTCGGGGGAGAAAGATCTTTGACGGAGAGCAGCAGGCTTTGCCTGGGACAGGACAGAAATAGACTGGTGAGGTGGATAAGCCAGAGACATACTCAAAAGTGACTGGGCCATCTCAGAATTCGTGACAGTTTAGGATGGAAAAAAAACCCAGCCAGACCCACACTCCTTATAAAGGCGTTCAAGAAGTTCAGAAGAGAGACTCAGATTCTAGTGCTTAGGTCTCAGGAAAAGAAGGAGGATGAAGGAGGATGCAGAGATTTTAGAGATGTTGCCAGGATGTTTCCGGAGGGTAAGAACAAACGCACACAGGAGACAAGTGAGGGCCAAACTCCGAGGGCATGAGGAGTCATTCAGTGATGCGCTAAGATGCGAGGGTGGTGGTGGAGTAAAACTAAATGTACTGTTTTTTTCTTGCAGGAAACAAACAAACAAACAAAGGAGGGGGTGATTAACCTGCTGTTTGAATCAGATGGTATGGCCTTATATGAATGATAGAAGAAAAAGCAGAATTTCCAAACATAGTTTCCGCGTTCTCTGGCAAGGAGGTAATTAACAACAAATCTTGTTACACCAGCCTTCTCTCTCCAGAAAGGAAAACCTGCTGTGTTCAAAGCGTATCTGGATTTCAGCTAGAAACTCAACCAACCCCTCCTCACCTGGAAAGTTCCCTCCAAATGTTCGAGGACATATTAGTGAGGGTCCCAGTGAAAGAACGAAGATGGATCCAATGAGTAATTTAAAACTATTTAATAAACATCTATGAGGGGCCAGCCCCTGGCTGAGTGAGGAGACACGCTCAGTCCCTGCCCGGATGGGGCTGGCCGATCTGAGCTCAGAAACCCAGGGCGACAACGTGGAAGCCCTAGGCAGTGTTTCTCGGGGAGCTGCCCTGGGACTGAAGGACCAGAAATGCCGAGGGGCTGCATGGTTCCCCAGAGACTCTGGGCTTGGGGTTGGGGGTGAGCACTGAATGGCGGTGGGTAGAACGTCCAGGCCCTTTGCAAGTCTTAGGTACTGGGACTCATGGTTTTTCAAATTTAGTGTCACTCTAAGGAAATATTCTTCATCCATATAAGCCAAAGTGCTTATCCTGGAATGTAGGGGCATCAGTTTTTGTTTTTGTTTTTTTTTTAAATGGCTGGATAATTCAAGAATCAGAAGGAGAGAGAAAGCCATTCTGCTAGCACCCTGCTGATCAGCCACTAGACCACGTTCTCTACCGTGTTCTCCAAGCTGCAGAGGGGGTGGGAGGCAGGGAGGGTGGTGGGGGCTCTTCCCACGGTTCACCAGCGAGGCTCTCTGAGTTCTGACACAGTGCACACAGTGTGGGAAGCAGGTAGCGACTTGCTGGGGGAGGACAGGGTGACAGAACCCACTGATGGCGTGAAGCACCTGCCCTTCCTCAGAAACACAAGTCTCCCTGGATCCCCAAGGCCTTATTGACTTTTTTTTTTTGGGCCACATGATTTAAGGGATCTCAGCTCCCCAGCCAAAGACTGAACTCAGGGCCATGGCAGTGAAAGCGCTGAGTCCTAGCCACTGGGTTGCCAGGGAACTGCTTTTATTGATTTTCTAATGTTTTGATTTCTAGATCCCAATTCTTAATGTTTTCACTTATGTTTTCTCCCTCTCACTCTGGTTTCACTCAACCTGAAAACATTCCTTACATAGGCCTCCCCAGGGGCACTAGTGGTAACACAGGAGAGGTTGGTTGGATCCTTACCCAACTGAGGATTTACAGCTGTGACAGCTGCCTCTTCAAGCACTGAAGGCCATGCTGGCTTTGTAAGGCTGAACAAATTGTTCTAGTTTCATTATTTTGTACTCAATATATAATTACATTGTTTATATCCTGGAAATAATGGAACTCAAAAGGAAAAAAAAAAAAGCCCAAAGATATGGCTGGTCTCATTTTTAATAGAAACAGCACTCTTTCATAATTCAATAGTATTCAAGTTCTAATGGGCTAATGAATAATTTGGAAGCAGTGAGAGCTCTTCATGGAAATGCCTGCTTTCCCAGAGGCCATGTTTACCCGACTTCATCTGCCAAAGTAAGGATTGTTCTACCTGCAGTGGTTACGACCAAGGAGGACCAGCGCTGACGTTCCCATCAGACAAGCTGCAGGTGAAGACAAACAATACACCAAGGTCTCTGGCAGGAATCCAGCCAGTGTGGTCAATATAAAAACACCATCTGCTTCCCAGTTTCAAACCATAAATAATTGTTCCATAGCAACAGAGGCCTTTCGGGCTGACTCTTTGGCCTAAGCTTTTGGGGAGGGAGGCCGATGGGATTCTCGAGGCTCCTGATGGGCAGACAGAGCCCCCCAGGAAGGAGCCCGGCAGCGGCCTGGGGCGGGCAAAGCTCCCCAACAGCTTCCCCAGGCACATCCTCAGTGGCAGCCACCTCTCCTTCCAACTCCGCACCACTAGTTGGGCTGGAACCCTACGCTCTCGGCAGGAGCTGTAATGATCGGTGAAAGAATCATACAGGCTTTTGTGGAGAAGCCAGGTGGGTGAGCGCAGACCCTGCACCACCAGGAGCTTTCCCGACACAGACATACTCCCTCATCTAAAGTGACATGACATGTAGGCAGCCTTCAAATCAAGTTAAGAGATTTAATTCTATCTTGTAGAAAATGTATTTATTTAAAAGGCATGGTTTGGGGGACTTCCCTGGCGGTCCAGTGGCTAAGACTCCGCAATCCCAATGCAGGGGGCCTGGGTTCGATCCCTGCTCGGGGAACTAGATCCCGCATGCCACAATTATTAATAAAAGATCCTGCAGGCTGCAACTAAGACCTGGCACTGCCAAACTAATTAATTAATTATTTTAAAAAGGCATGATTTGGGAGTTACCTCCAATTAACCTGAAACACAGGTTACTCACAGGAAAAATGAAAGTGAAAGTCTGACTCTTTGCAGACTCAGTTGAGTCTGACTCTTTGCAAACCCACAGAATATACAGTCCATGGAATTCTCCAGGCCAGGATACTGGAGTGGGTAGCCTTTCCCTTCTCCAGGGGATCTTCCCAACCCAGGAATCAAACCAGGGTCTCCTGCATTGCAGGCAGATTCTTTACCAGCTGAGCCACAAGGGAAGCCCAAGAATACTGGAGTGGGGAGCCTATCCCTTCTCCAGCGGATCTTTCTGAGCCAGGAATCGAACTGAGGTCTCCTGCACTGCAGGTAGATTCTTTACCAACTGAGCTATCAGGGAAGCCTGAGAGGCAAACATAAAACCACCCTGTCTCTGAAAGTACTGATGGGGAATACCTCTAAACTACTTATTTTCTGGTAAAAATCTGGACTTGAAGCAATTTGAAGTGATGCTAGGTGAATGATTTAAAGACAGTTCTCTGTATTACAATTCCTTACCTGTGAACTTTGACAGGAGAATACAGAATTTCAAAATCAGAGCCTAATTAGTTAACACACATTTCTATCTGTCACGCATATGGAACTGCTTCTAAGCCTGTGTAATTGCCAGACGACAGTGATACCCTCTGAGATTTGAGTGAGGGCGTCTCCTCTAAGGACTGCCCAGACTAACGGGCACACGGTCGATCTCCCCAAACCCCAAAACTGAAGGTGGCCCTCCACATGGCTAATTTAAGTATATAACAACAGTAATTAAGCATTCAGACTGAGCCATGTGTCTCTTGAACTGAGTTTCCATATAAAAATAACAGCTAAACATGACATGAATAATAGCTGAGCACTATCCACAATGCTCTGCAGGCATTCATTCATTTAACCCTCGCACTGCCCTGAGAGGCTGACACTGCCGGTGACCCTAGCTTACAGATAAGAGGCTGTGGCAAAGGGGGGTTGGGCAGGTCAGCCGAGGTCACACGGTTATCAAGTGGCAGGGCCAGGACTCAAGTCCAGGCCGCCCGGCTTCCCAGCTGCTGCCCACTTCCTGACATCCCAGGTTTACTTGGGGGCTGTTCAGCAGGCCTCCCCCCGGTGCTGATCAGGTTCTTGGAGGAACCGCACAGACTGAGTCAGTTCAAGTTAAACTTGTTCTCCGTCTCTGCGGGCGGCTTGAACCTGAAGCACGGTTCACACTGGAGTTAGGTAACCTGTCCGTGTCGGAGGGTGAGGGCTGAAGGATGGGGCCTAGGCTTTATCCTGGGAACCCCTCAGACGGCAACAGTGCTTTTCATTCATACATAAACACACACAAAGAGCATTCATTTAAAATTCTATATCCTGCCAATCAGGGACTCCAGAAGCCGGCGGTATGAAAACAAAAGAATCTGCTAAAGGCGCAGCTGGGAAACATTCCAACTGTTGGAATAAGACTAAACGACTTAACATATATCTTTGGGGTTTTGCGTATTTCTCCAATTTCACATTTTAGATAAATATAGCTTTCCCACCTCTGATTTTAATTTCTGGCTGCTGATTTTATTTTCAAACATTTCAAAGTTAGCAAATATCATCCACTAAAGAAGGGGACCCCAATTTTTCTCCAAAGGACATCCTTGACTCCAGCCAAAGCTTTTAAAAACAATGAAGTAAACTTATTTGTATTTGTTCCTGATGTAAAAAAAAGAAAAACTAGTAAGTCTGTATCGATTGCTGCTTTTCAAAACAATATTTTCAGGATGATTTTTAACAGATTACCTGGAGCTGGATGTAAAATATGAGTCGTCACTGTCATCACCATACTTTTTTCTCGGTTTTGCTGTGATTGGCGTTTCCTGTTCAATGGTCTGCATGTCTGAAGTCACTGAATGTGAAATACCACTTGAGAAAATAGAGAATAAGATGGAAAAAAAAGAATATTAGTTCATGAAGATACGTGTGTTCACCAAAGAATGCCTATAATTTATTCTCTCAACAAAAATATACTTTATTCGGGGGGTTACAAACATGAACAATAGAAAAATATTTTTGTGGTACAAGCACTAAAAAATACTGGACCTTAGTGGGGACTGTAACTAAATATACAAAATACAGTCAGATATGAAAGTTATGTTTACGGCATCCATTTAATGACAATCAGACCTATTTCATTTATTCTAATAATCAAATTTGGAAGTTTTTGTGCTGGAGTAAACACAGTTGTCCCTTGGTATCTGAGGGGGACTGGTTCTATGACCCCAGCCAACAAAAACAATCCTCAGGGACACATAATTTTTCAAGGCCGAGGCCTGATGTGTCCTCCTTTGCTTGGCAAAGTAAGGAAGCTATCCTCCTCTACTTCACCCCCCCAAAAACCCTTACTATTCCTTTGTATTTTAAATCATCTCTAGTTACTAATAACACCAAATTCAATGTAAGGGCTACCTCTGTTGCTCTTTAGTTGCTAAGTGCTGTCTCTTTGCTGATCCCATGGAAATGCTATATAAATAATTATAAATGCAATGTAAATACTATGTAAATCATTGTCCTTAAGTATGGTATGTACAGAAAATTTGTTTTGCTTTCTGGAACTTTCTGGAATTCTCCCTATCCCAATATATTCAAATCCCCGATTGGCTGAATCTGCAAAGGCAGAAGCCCTAGATAGACAGCGCTGCGGGCTGACTGTATTAGAGCACAACTGCAGGATGTGAACAAGGAGAAGACGCTTCTGAAGTGGAAACTAACAGGGAAAGTCCACGTGAGATCAGCAAACTAGCTTAACTTACGAAAGCCAAGAAAGCAGAGTCTTACCTTCTGCTATTTCCGAATCCCATGCCAAGTCTCTCTGATTCTGTCTTTTTCTTGCCACTCATGTTCATCTTTTCATCTTTCTTCATATGAATTTCAAGATCTTTATAGGCTAATCGTAATGATGAAACACTGCCAGAAAAACCGAATGCTACTTAACTTAGTGCTAATTCTGTGCTCTTAAGTTAAAATACCAAGAATGTTAACCATGTCACATGCTTTTAGCTTGCTGCAACTTTCCATGATTAATGGTTATAAAAGCAAGCTGGCATTTTTTGGGTAAAGATCTCTTTCGAGTAGATGCTCATGAGAAGGTGCATGAGTTTACAGCTAATTTTTGGTTGCTGCTGAATCTAATTGCTGTTTTAGCTTATATTACTTACCGTATCATAATATGTCACAACATAATAAATACTTAAATTACTTCTATAAATGATATAGGATAGTAAAATGCAGATTTTTTTTTAACTATACTTCCACATTATGTAACAAAAATATGAGATTAGTCTCATTCGTTTGTTCTGGTTTAAGATTATATATATATGTGTGTGTGTGTGTGTGTTGTGTTGGGCTTAGTCGCTCAGTCAGGTCCAACTCTTTCTGAATCCATGGACTGTAGCCCACCAGGCTCCTCTGTGCATGGGATTCTCCAGGCAAGAATACTGGAGTGGGTTGCCATGCCCTCCTCCGGGGGATCTTCCCGACCCAGGGATCAAACCCAGGTCTCCAGCATTGTAGGCAGATTCTTAACCATCTGAGCCACCACGGAAGCTCAAGAATACTGGAGTGGGTAGCCCATCCCTTCTCCAGGGATCTTTCCAACCCAGGGATCAAAACCGAATTGCAGGCGGATTCTTTACTGGCTAAGCTACCAGGGAAGTCCAAATATATAGGGAATGGCTCCAATATTCTTGCCTGGAGAATTCCATGGACAGAGGAGACTGGCGGGCTACAGTCCATGGGGTTGCAAAGAGTCGGACCCGACTGAGCGACTAACACTTTCGCTTTTCATATATATATATATAAATATATTTGACTTAACAGGTAAATTAAGAAGGGATTACTGCATTGCAAAAGGATTCTTCAGTTTACAAGAAAATTTCCCATAGGGTCTCTCTCTCTTTTTTTAAAAATATTTATGTGGCTGCAACGGGTCTTAGTTGTGGCACATAGGATCTTTAGTTGTGGCATGTGGGATCTAGTTCCCTGACCAGGGATCGAACCCAGGCTGCCTAGCATTGAGAGCATGGAGTCTCAGCCACTGAACCACTAGGGAGGTTCTCTATAAGGTCTCTTTATGGAACCAGGCTCTGAGAACACTCAAAATGGAGCTGTCATTCCTCAGTCAATAGTTTCCTCTGCAGCACCAGTCAGATACTCATCACCTATCAAATACTTGTGACAAATAATGCACCCAGTGGGGGGGAGGGAGGAGAGATGAATAAAACACTGTCCCTTACTCTTACGTTTCCAAAAATGCTATAGATACTTAATTTCTTATGAAGAAAACCAGGCCTATATTATAGTATATATATTGTTATTATATATTATTACTAATATTATTATATTATATAATATATAATATTATTATATTATTAGTATATTATTATATTAGTAATAATATATATTATTATATTATATATTTATTATTATATAGTATATTAGTAAATAGCAACAAAATTTCAGGGACTTGAAAAATGATATACGTACATTATCAGGATTTCTAAGATATCGTCCATTTTATAAAATTATATAAAATGTCACAAATCCCTCATGAGAAAGGTACTGTATAAACTCCCTAATAATATAAATACATCTCTCTGTAGTGAAAGGAAGTGATAACAGTTTCTTACTAGGAGAAAATAGTCTCGCTTTTGCTGTCTCCCTTCTTAATGCGTCAAGCAGGATTTCTATTCTGTTCTCTGTTGTTGCTTATGTACATGCTTCTCCCTCTAGGCGTTTTTTTACAGTAAGAACACTGCTTTGTATACCTGGATTTTAACAGAACCTGGCATTAGAGAAATGGATGCCTTCATTCTTTATATGTATTTGATTCGGTGGTGCCAGGTCTCAGTAGCAGCACGCAGGATCTGCAGTTACGACATGTGAATTCTTAGTTGCAGCGTGTGGGATCCAGTTCTCTGACCAGGGATCAAACTCAGGTCCCCTTTCATTGGCAATTTGGAGTCTTAACCACTGGACCACCAGGAAAGTCCCTCTGTTTTGTTTTAATGTGGCCATTTGTTTTCTTTATTGTTATTCCTTCAGATCAGGTAATGGTAATACATCTACTGTTTCCCCCCAAATTGTGCTTGAAAGAGGAAAATAAGCAATCTTCTTTCAAGTATAATTTTTTGGGGAAAACAGTGAAATGAAGTGAAGTTGCTCAGTCGTATCCGACTCTTTGTGACCCCATGGACTGTAGCCTACTGGGTTCCCCCGTCCATGGGATTTTCCGGACAAGGGTACTGGAGTGGGCTGCCATTTCCTTCTCCAGAGGATCTTCCCGACCCAGGGATTGAACCCAGGTCTCCCGCATTGCAGGCAGACGCTTTACCCTCTGAGCCACTAGTATTTTAAACAGCCACTGTTTAAAATCACAAAAAGCTACAACTGTGGTAACAGAGTCTTCTGGAGATGAATGGATGGGGATGAAGAATTTCAAGAGAGTATGAGATGGGGAAGCTTTCCCTTTTGGGGTACCTGCCGTGGAATTGGCTGTATCGCTCATTAAAAGCGTGCACTTTAACATGCAGGCCCTGGAAGCACTAATAGAATAGAGAAGCTAGGACTCTGCACCTCTCAGAGCTGCAGGAGCCCTTCCAGGACCGGCGTGGAGGAGGGCTGGCCGCGTCCCCCAGACCCAGGGAGAGCGCAGGGGCAGCCCCAGCGCCACCTCCGCCGCCTCCTACCCTCCTACCGGCTGTGCACACAGACACCTCTGAGGACGAAAGGCCCAGGAGGCTGAGGCTGCTGCACGGGTGGCTTAGTTCACAGGAATCGATACTGCTCCTGACAGCTGACTGAAATAACTTTATGTTCAGCCATTTTAAAAAATGAAGTTGCAGAAGACTAACATAAAGTGCAAGCACTCTTGGGGACTTCCCTGGTGGTCCAGGGGCTAAGAGTCTGCACTTCTAATGCAGGGGGCCTGGGTTCGATCTCCGGTTGAGGAACTAAGATCCCACATTGCCGCAGCTAAGACCCAGCACAGCCAAATAAATACATTGTTGTTTAGCTGCTAAGTTGTGTCCAACTGTTTTGTGACCCCAAGGGCTGTAGCCTGCCAGGCTCCTCTGTCCATGGGATTCTCTAGGCAAGAATACTGGAGTGGGTTGCCATTTCCTTCTCTGGGAGATCTTCCAGACCCAGGGATTGAACCTGCATCTCCTGCATTGCAGGTGGATTCTTTACCACTGAGCCACCAGAAAAGCCCCCCAAAAATAAGTGAATATTAAAAAGTAAATAAATAAACAAAGCCTGGATACTTCTCACAGCTGGCACAGCACTGGTTTGCTGAAACTGAGCTGTGATGTGTCTGAGTGGCAGGGCGGTGGTCAGGGCCTGGGCTGCAGCTGTTCTGAACAAAGGGATTCACTGGGTTCCCAAGTCCAGCTCATAAACACCCCATGATCTGCATCTTTGCATTTATGCTCTATCGAGCAGTCCTGATTAAGGCTGGTGCTGTCTCTAACATTAGCGCACTAGTCTCTGTCCCCCTGACCTGCAGGGAGGGGACTGCTGCTTTCTAACTCCCCATCTCCTGTTCTGATCAGGCAACAATTTTACCAGTTCTCTGAGAAAACCTCATGCATGAGTGATCTGCACGGAGTCCACTCCCAAATACACTCAGATTTAACCTTCCGCCTTTCTCAGTGTTAAGAAACCTAGCTAAGTCAGAGACATCAAAGTGAAGTCTGTGACAACTTAGAGTGAATCTTACACAGAGCATCTCAAATCACTCAACATGCCAGCAAATTTGGAAAACTCAGCAGTGGCCACAGGACTGGGAAAGGTCAGTTTTCATTCCAATCCCAAAGAAAGGCAATGACAAAGAATGTTCAAACTACCACACAATTGCACTCATTTCACAGACTAGCAAAGTAATGCTCAAAATTCTCCAAGCTAGGCTTTAACGGTACGTGAACTGAGAACTTCCAGATATTCAAGTAGGATTTAGAAAAGGCAGAGGAACCAGAGATCAAATTGCCAACATCCACTGGATCATAGAAAAAGCAAGAGAATTCCAGAAAAACATCTACTTTGCTTCATTGACTACACTAAAGATTTTGGCTGTGTGGATCACAACAAACTGTCGTGTCCGACTCTTTGTGACCCCATGGACTGCAGCCTGCTAGGGGGATTCTCCAGGCAAGAATGGGTTGCCATGCCCTTCTCCTGTGGATCTTCCCAACCTAGAGACTGAACCCAGGTCTCACGCATTGCAGGTGTATTCTTGACCATCTGAGCCACCAGTGAAGCCCCTTTGACATCTCAAATCACATTTAACCTAAATACAGTTTAGTGCTGCCCCCTAGGTGCTGTGAGTTAAATGACAATGAGGAGTAACCACCCATTTCAAATGATCCAGGCTTATCATAAGAAGTCCACTGAACAAGGGCATCTGGATAGCTCAGTTCGTAAAGAATCTGCCCACAATGCAGGAGACCCTGGTTTGATTCCTGGGTCTGGAAGATCCCTGGAGAAGGGATAGGCTGCCCATTCCAGTATTCCTGGGCTTCCCTCGTGACTCAGCTCACTGTAGAGTTAGCTACCATCTGAAGCTTTTTTCTTGGAGAAGGAAATGGCAACCCACTCCAGTACTTTTGCCTGGAAAATCCCATGGACGGAGGAGCCTGGTAGGCTATAGTCCATGGGGTCGCAAAGAGTCGGACACAACTGAGTGACTTCACTTTCACTGAGCAAACTGTGAGCGTGAATAGCAAGAAACTACACTGATTGAGCACCTTCTACGCGCCAGGCATTGTCTGATGCACTCTAATGAGCATTAGCTAAATGAATCCTCTAACAATCTTGTAAAGTAAGCAGCAGGATTTTCTTCATTATACAGCCTGTAGCAAGGAAGCCACGCTAAAAGAGATAGGGGCTTCCCTGGCGGCTCAGATCGTAAAGAATCCGCCTGCACTGCGGGAGACCCAGGTTCAGTCCCTGGGTCGGGAAGATCCCCTGGAGGAGGGCATGGCAACCCACTCCAGTGTTCTTGCCTGGAGAATCCCCACGGACAGAGGAGCCTGGTGGGCTGCAGTCCATGCGATCACAAAGACTCAGACACGACTGAGTGACTAATACACACACACAAGAGATACACATGACAACAAGAGAAAATACCATACAAATAAAATACACACGTGTACAAAACAGGAATCCAGGACGCCTTTCCTCTCTTCTCTCCTTCCGACCCTGGGCCCTTATGCCAGTCACCGGTCCTTTCCAGGTAGCCATGTGTCCCTTCTGTTTTCAACGCAGTGACATCCTCTCAAGAACCTTAAGGACTTAAAACAAGTCTCTGGGCTGGGCTCCTGGCTTCCAGGTTTCTCCCCATTCTTTCTGCCCTGGATATCACGACCAAACACACTTTCCAAAACGTACCCCTGCCTCACGGCACTCTCCTCAGATGTGATGTAAACCCCCCAGCTGGTCTGACTTCAGGGTGACCCACGCCATTATTCCAATGTCTCCAATCCAGGCAGGACCCCATAGCCACTGTCTAGATTCCCTCTTCCTCATCCTCCTAGGCTATTCCTTCCTCCCTCTCTCTGCCACCACCCCCAAGTCTGCCTCTGAGACCTCTTCACGATGCAGGCTCAGCACCTCTGGAGACTCCACCATACCCAAAACCTTCCATCATACAATTAGAAGTTAGTCGCTAGGTCCAATGGGGCTTCACATTATAAACACCATTTTCCCTACTGAGATATAATTCACATATCATAAAATTCACCTTTTTAAAATGCACAATTCAGTTTAGCATATTCACAAGGCTATCACCATCACCTCTATCTAATTCCAGAACATTTTCATCACCCCAGAAGAAACCCCACCCACCCACAGTCCCACCCCATTCTTCCCTCTGCCCTTGCCCCTGGAAACCACCCATCTGCTTCTGTCTCTTGATTTGCCTGATTTGGACAGTCCACATCTAAGCAATCATAAAATATGTGGTCTTTTGTGGCCAGGGTCTTAGCATACATTTTTCAAGATTTGTGCATGCTGCAGCATGTATCAGTACCTTATCCCTTTTCATGGCTAAATAATATTCCGCTATATGGACACACACACACTTTTTTCACCTGTTTACTAGTTGGTGGACATCTGGGTTGTTTCTACTTTTCGGCTATAGGGATTAGCACTGCTGTGAACATGTGTACAAGTTTCTGTCTGACTTTGTGGGCATATACGTTACTTTGAGAATATGCTGCAGAGAGAAATGCTGGGTCATATAGTAACTTCGCCACCAGCAAAGCATGAGGGCTCCAGTTTCTTAATTCTCACCAACATTTGTTTTCCCTCTTCTTGATCACAGCTCCCCGAGAGTGAGGAGGTACCTCCCTGTGGCTTTGACTTGCATTTCCCTGATGACTAATGACGCTGAGCATCTTTCCTGGGGCAGCACCTCCTGACACATCTCTATCTTTCCCTTCTTGTTGACCCCACCCAAATCCTGTCCACACAACTTCAACTGGAAATGGTGGCTGCCCTCCCTAAATACTGGCCTCTCTCCTTCTCATCTACATGTCCATGTGGTATTAACTCTCATAATACCAAATTCTGCATGTCCCTCCTTACACACAGATGTAAAAATAAATGGCATTTGGAAAGCAAATCTCAGAGTCATTGAGTTAATAGCTTTGCGTGTTACACGCGTGCTAAGTCGCCTCAGTCCTGTCTGACTCTTTGCGACCCTGTGGACTGTGGCCCACCAGGCTCCTCTGTCCATGAGATAGCCTCCAGGCAAGAATACTTGAGTGGGTTGCCATGCCCTCCTCCAGGGGATCTTCCCGAGCCAGGGATCGAACCCCAGTCTCTTGCGTTTCCTGCATTGGCAGGTGGGTTTTTTACCACTAGTGCCACCTTGGGAAGCCCAGTTAATAACTGTAGACACTAGAATCGTATTATGATTTGATCAAACTTACATGGACTCTTCCTTAGGTGCTGCCCGGGACAGAAGGTCTTCCTGTGCATTCATCTTATCGACGGCTTGGGCTTGCTTTTCAATTTCATTAAAGCACGTATTTGACAGTTTCTGGGCTCCCAAACTTCCTTTTTTGGCCCCAAGCTGGAGGATACAGTAGAAGATTACATTTTACCCAGTTGTTTGAGAATGTTTGCAATGACAGCTGACAGTTACTGAGGGTTATTACTTAGTCCGGCACGGTCATCATCTCCGGGCGACGGAGGAGGACCTAAGCTCTTGTTAGTAAAGAGACATGACCAAGATCACACAGCCGCAGGTGACGAGGTCAGGATTCAGCCCTCGCACCTGCGTCCAGGGCAGGGGCTCTGAATGGAACCTCAGAAGCTGAACGTTCAAGCGCGGACAACACTCCCAGCCTCGTCCAATGGCACTGCTAGAAACGGCAGCATGACAGAAACCCAGGGAGCCTCGGTTGATTTTTATCCCAGAGCTTTATCGCCAACAGAGAAATGTGGAACACTCACTGCAGAAAATTTTCACCATGTATAACGTCACTCCATTGAGCAAGCCAACTTTTTATCAAAGCCGCATTTATCAGATCGTGGCTCAAAAACAATAGAAGTAAAAATGACAAAGGTGGCTTCCTCGAGTCCAAGAGTCATTTTAGAGCTAAATCACCAGACAGTTTATACATAATACTCACTCCTCTTTTAGCTTGATTTGGTTTCTTTTTTATGATAGAAGAAATCTCTGTCAAAAGACAAAAAATAGAAAGTCAGACCACTGGTAATACATAATTTTCCTATTTTTAGTGTATTTTTTAAAAAAATTCTAAGATACTGTATTTTATTGTTTAAGAGAAAATAACATTTTCCACATTAGTTTGTCATCCAGAGACTCAACTACATCAACGTATTTCAGATGAACAGAGTTTCATCAAAATAAGAGTTCTCAGTATTTTCAGATTGCATTCAAACTCAGAGAGTATATATTTTGGGGGGTGGGGGTGGCGGGGAACACCATGTTGCAGAGAAATAAACAGCCTGAGCTTGCCTCAATCACCACTTTTTCAGGAGCATTTTGGATATTAGAACAAACTTGCCTCGTAATCTCTACTCTTCAAAAATTTTCAAAATTGTTTTAAAACATAAAGTTAGCCAGGCATTATGTATACAACTAAAGCAGCCAGTGAAGTGCTTTCCCACTCTGATTTATGTACAGATTTTATCATACTAACCAATCAGAAATGGAAAGCATTCTATTATTTTGGTAGCATTACTTACTAAATTACACAAAAATATATGATGCTTTTAGATAAAGTTTCTTAAAAATTGTTTTCTGGGTAAATTTTAATCATAGATTACATATTCTGGTTTTAGAATTATGTGTAAGAGACCTAGTAAGAATAAAATCTTTTCTTACAAAGATGAGAATGTGATTTAACAGGAAAATATAGCATAAAACCATGAAGATTAAAATTTTTAGTCCTTAATGAGAGAATAACATCATTACATTTGGAGTATAAAAAAAGACATTCACGGAAATCCTTCTTTTCTTCACTTTCTTTTAGATGTGCATTGTGGCAGTCATATAACCTGCATCCAGCCTCCTACATGTCTATTAATACATGAGGGAAATACCTGAAACATTTCTAATTGTTTAGTTATTTTTCACCAAAGCTGTTGCTTTCCAATTAATGCAGTGTGACATGCACTAATTTCAGGTTACATTTCCCTGATGATGAAAAATTAGAGATTAAGTTCACCTACAGTACAACCAGAAAGAAGAAAATGCTAAGCGTTCTTGCGTAACTAGGAATGATGTGGCTGCTCTGCCCTCTGCCTGTGCTGGGACGTAAACCAGCAAATCAAAAAGCATCAAGAGCAACCTTCGCCAGCTACAGAGGCTAATGCGTTTCAGTCACCAAGCTGGCCAAAACAAAACGGCATTTTTTGTTTAAATACATCTCATTACATTGCAAGTTCTAGGCAGAATGTATAGACGGGATTCATTTTTTTCTTAATTAACCTCACTCTCTAAATCAGACTACAGGGTAACACATACCGCCTACAGCAGCCTTTGTTGGTACATTAAGACCTTCCACACTTGGTCCTTGTTCTGGTGCACCTGAAAGTTAAAAATATTAATATCAACGCAGAAAACAGATTCATCAAATGTGCTTTTGAATATGTAACACATCCAATTTGTTCAGTACTACAAATCTTATCCAGGCAGATCAATGATTGTCTTTTCTTTTTAGCTCCATATTTTATCACTTTAAGAATTCTAATTTAAAAATCCATTAAAATAGAAGTGTATTTTGTATCCAGTTGCTTTGTTAGTGGTCTCCCTAATCATTATAATTTGGAATCCTACCTTATGGTCTGGTGTTTTAAAGTAAACTGTTTTGAGATACCTAGTATATATGTGGATTATACACCCAACCCAATATGTTAACATTTGGCAAGTCTAATATGAATCCTATCAATGATAGAAACCTAAATTTTCAGTTGCCAAGAAATCTGCTGAGTTTTCTAGTTGATCTAAAAAACTGATCCTGGTTTAAGGAATTCCATTAAGGTTTTTATTTTTAAAATATGTTGTTCTCTTAATTTTATTACCTTAAAATGGATAAACAAAATGCAGCATATCCATGCAATAGATGGGATGTTATTTGGCCGAAAAAGAAATGAATGGACTTTCCTGACCCCTTCTCATGCAGAGCTGAATGCCTCTTCCTTCAGGGCTCTCTACTTGATGAAAATGCCACTGATTGTCCAACCTTCCAGCAAATCCTTGTCTGAAGGCTTCTTAGGACCGTCACCTGATCTTGAGGTTGGTGACTCCTTAGTCCTTCCTGTCACACTAAGTTTCTTAAAGCAGTTCCAGGCTTGACTCTCACAGGCCAGCATGTCTGAGGGGCCCACCCACCAGCAGTTCACTGATTAGGTGAAAAACGATACCTTGTTGTTGTTGATTTACATTAATTTTCTGGCTAACAAAAAATGCTCAGTTTTAAAACAGAAAGTATCGATATTTTGATCCATGGGTGGTTTTTTAAAAATGTAAGCAAGTGATGTAAGTAGATTTACAATAAATATAATCCTAAAATAAAATTACCAAATGTGAATTATTAGACTGACTATTGACAGAATGTGTGCATGTGTGCTCAGCTGCTTCAGTCGTGTCCAGCTCTTTGCAGTGCCATAGACTGTAGTCTACCAGGCTCCTCCGTCCATGGGATTCTCCAGTCAGAATACTGAAATGGGCGGCCATTTTCTCCTCCAGGGATCTTCTTGACCCCGGGATCGAACCCATGTCTCCCGTGTCTCCTGCATTGCAGGTGGATTCTTTACTGCTGAGCCACCGGGGAAGCCCATAGTTTTCTAAATTGGAATCTTGTTTTCTGATTATAAGATAGCTCAGTTAGTAAAGAACCTGCCTGCAATGCAGGAGACTCCAGTTCAATTCCTGGGTTGGGAAGATCCGCTGGAGAAGGGTTAGGCTACCCACTCCAGTATTCTTGGGCTTCCCTTGTGGCTCAGCTGGTAAAGAATTCACCTGCACTGTGGGAGACCTGGGTTCGATCCCTGGGTTGGGAAGATCCCCTGGAGAAGGGAATGGCTACCCACTCCAGTACTCTGGCCTGGAGAATTCCATGGACTGTCTAGTCCATGGGGTTGGAAAGAGTGGAACATGACTGAGTGACTTTCACTTTCACTTACTTTTCTGATTATAAAAGTAACACATACTCATGATAAAAGTTTGGTCGCTTCAAACTTGTATCAAGTTGAAAGTAAAAATCCTCAGCAATTTCATTTTCCGTGTTAACTGCATGTGTGATTTTGGCTACTGGTTTTTTACAAAAGTGGGTCATACATACTCCATGTTCAGTAATCCTCTCTCTCCGTTTTATAACGGACCATGGGCATCTTTCCCTACTCTTGGTAAATGCAGGGGTCTCATTTTCTAGGCGTTCCGCAGAGGCCCAGGGCACTATAACACGAGTCTCAGTGTTACCTTCACTGCTTGCTGGAGGTGTGTCCAGGTTCCTCGGAGTTAAAGAAGGTTCTGGCTGTGCTGACGCCCACCCTGTGCTGCTCACCTGAAGCCAGGGGAGAAAAGTCGTTACCAGCAAAGCATGAAAAGTCATAAAAAACAAACTTCAAAAAAAGTGAGTCACTAAGTCCGGTCCACATGCCAGGGGAGCGGGTTAAGCCCCACATCCTGAAGGGTGGGAGGTATACACATGGTTTGGAATTTTCTGTAAGGAAGACTGTCCCTTCCCTCCACTCCTTTATGCAACCATCTATTTGTATCAGTAATCAACTCATGGATATTGGTCAATTCTTTGTATTACAGCCCAGTACTATCATTATTTATTTTGTTGTTCAAACGGATCCAGCTCTGACCACCGGGACTTCTTCCAGGTTGGCTCCCGAGTCCTTCAGCCGTGTCCTCGTCCAATCCCCCGCCCTGGCCTCCTAGCACTCCCTTACTTCCAGCACCACTGGGTACTCCAGGCTCCTCTGCCCCTGCAACTCCAGTCCTGGAACTGGCCACCTCTCCAAAGGTAGCCCTGGTTCCTTTTATTGGAGAACAGCATTTAGAAATGAGGGTGTGGGTGCTGGGTGTGCCTGTCGTCCTGGGGTGTCTCTGTCTCTAGGCCTCATAGTGGACAGAGCTAGGACATACACCTTGTGTGTGTACACCAGCTCATACGTATACACAGATCTACAGTTAGTTCTCCATCATGTGATCATTCTCTCAATAGCCTTGAGAGATGTTCTATGTACACAGCTAACAGGGGCAACGAGATTCAAATTCCTTTTCAAATCTGGGTTTATAAAAATGTCTTCATTCTTTCTTTTGGCTACACCGTGCAGCTTGTGGGATCTTAGTTCCTTGAGCAGGGATCAAACTTGTACTCCCCCCATGGGAAGCACAGAGTTGTAACCACTGGACTGTCAGGGAAGTCCCCCAAACTGTCTTTGTCAATTGCAAAGCTCTGAACTGCACTGGCAGGCCCCTAGTAAGACCTCTGCCTCCCAGGAAGCTGGGTACAGGGCGTGGGACTGAATTCTAGACGGCAGGAAGTGAGTGAGCAGAAGCAATGCTACCTCCAGACTGTAAAAGGCTGGGGCACTGCTTCCCTGCATGTGGATGTCCGTCCTCCTCCCACTGGCCGGCAAAGGTCATGAACTGGAGTGGCCACTCTGGACCCTGAGATGGGAGCCACACAATGAGCTGAGCAGCCCTGGATGACCCTCAACTACTGCTGGGAAACTTATTTCTCTCGTAAGTGACTGTTTCAGCGCTGTGGGTCACAGCAGCTTAGCCTCTGTCCTAACTGAAACACTTTAAATACAGGCCCTTTAAAATTTATGTCAGGGGGGCACCCTTCAAAACTATGTAAGGTGTAACACTTACCTCAGGAGAAGCGTGAGAGGCGAAAAAATCTTCCTCCTTCGGTGGCGGGGACGAAGGCGGGACCACACAGCTGTCAAGCCACAGCTGGAACAGAACACACACATCGCTCAGCACTTCACTTGCTTTTGAGGGTTTATTTAATACAGTTCCCTGCCTTTCTAGAGGCCTGTCTGCTAAAGATCCGTACTTCCCATTATTATAAAGTCAGGGCCCCTGAGTACATTTTAGCAACGCATAGATCCAGTAACTTGTGCTGCCAGGCCCTGTGGAAGGCAAAAGGCAGTTCCCCAAGCCATTTCTGAAAAGGCAAGATCAAGGACTTCACGTTTAAGTGCATGTTCCAAAGTACTGCCAGTCGCCACGCTTTGTGGATTCCATATTCATGAACTCGCCTACTCTGCAATTAACTTGTGACCCTAGACCTGCCGCCCTGCCTGGACACATGCAGAGCAGCAGTGTGTCCCCCAAGGTGTGATGCTCAGCTCCCTGGTTTCAGCTCCTGCGGCAAGCACCGGCCCTTTCTGTGGTCTATTGACTGACACACTTCCCATGCTTTTGTGCTTTTTGTTGGCATCCGTCATTCACGATGGCCCCGATCTCAGTGCTAAGTGCCACCTCGTGTAACTAAGCACAGAGACGCAGTTAGATGAGCTTCACACAGCTCATCAAGCCACAGTGCCCTTGGCCATGGGCTCAGAGTCAATGTGTCAACAATATGCACTGAAGGTGTCTTTATTTTTTTAAGGAATTTTTTTTTTTGATGCGCATCATTTTTAAAATCTTCATTTAATCTGATACAATATTACTTCTGTTTCATGTTTTGGTCAAGGCATGTTGGGCCTTAGCTCCCCAACCAGGGATTGAACCCGTGGCCCCCACTGCAATGGAAGGCAAAGTTTCAACCAATGGAAGTGAAGTGAAAGTCACTCAGTCGTGTCTGACTCTTTGCAACCTCATGGCCTATACAATCCACAGAATTCTCCAGGCCAGAATACTGGAGTGTGCAGTCTTTCCCTTCTCCAGGGGATCTTCCCAACCCAAGGATGGAACCCAGGTCTCCTGCACTGCGGGCGGATTCTTTACCAGCGAGCCACAAGGGAAGCCTGACAGAGTGGTCATAATTAGGAATGATGCCCACATTTCTGACTTAGGCAGCTTGGCAGATGATGATGATGCCAATTATTAGAGCTAGGAAATACTGGAGAGGGAGTATGATGGAAGGGAAGATGATGAACATATATATTTAGTCATAATATTAAAATATTAAGTCATATGACGTAGCTAGCTCTTTTTTATAAATATCTGTTATACCTTGAACTATAAATCTTATAATGTTAAAAACCTTTAAACTTTTTGCTTTATGGATTATTTTCTTCCTAAGTCTATTGGCACATTTTTATTATTAGAAATAGATACAAAGAACAACCGAAAGCCAGGGAATTCCTTGGAAGAGGTGTCTTTAAGCAAAAAGCATGTAAAATGAGGTCAGTGTTGATCAGCTGACAAATAAAAGTGATGCTGCAGGACTGCCGTGTCGTGTTCACGGCAACGTTTTTGAGCAGGATGGTGAATAATGACAACCCGCTCCATGCCGTTTCCTTGTAAGAGAATCTGGCCAGGAAGTACGGTTGGGATATGAAGGACTTTTTCCGCTGAAACACACCTCCGGAGGCTGGAGACCCCGCCCCCGCCGGCCGTGCTTACGTCAGTGCCGTGCTTCCGGGTGGCCTGGGAGGCCAGCGCCTTGAGCCGCTCCCTGTAGAGCTGGCTGGCTCGGCTGTTGTACTTGGCGTTGGTGTCACTGGTGTCGCACCCGTGCTGATGGAAAAAGCAAGCCTGCGGAGGAAAGGACGCGGGTTAATGGCAGGGCTGCGCTCAATCTAAAACCATTACTGCACGCCATGAAGGGCCTTTTTGAAAATACTAGTGAAAACCAATACAATTTAAACCGTGAAAGATTTTTGTAAAATTTTTCCTTGTAGAAGGAGTAATACCTTCCACAGACGTAACATTAATATTCTGGTCAAAGTAGACGTGAGATGTGCCTCACAGAACAAAATAACCGGCCCCTCGCTGCTCCACTAGAACACCTCCATCATCCTGAACGTTATCTGAGCAAATGCTTTCCACTCAGGACTGCGTCTGACTTGAGCGACTGACCTTAGCTTAGAGTCCTACTAAACTGGACTAAATTTTCTTTTCTTTTCTTTGCACCTGTATGAGATGATTTAATTATGTGTTTAGGCTCTGCCGTGTGGCTTGCGGGATCTCACTTCCCCAACCAGGGACTGAACCTGGGCCATAGCAGGAAGAACCCGGAATCCTAACCACTAGGCCACCACAGGGGCTCCCTGAGTTGGAATGTCTGATAAACGAATTAAGCAAGAGCCAAGCTAACCCTCTCCTTGGTGAGCACTATCTCCTCATCGGTGGAGACCACAGCACAGGCAAGGTATTGAAGCAGGGACTTAGAGGACTCTGCTCGCAGCATCTCTGAAGGATCTCTGTACAGACATGAATTACAGCATTCACAGCTTAATTAAAGCAGGTGTTTTAAAAGCCTGTGTGACTGATCCTTTTGTGAATTCAACGGGACAAATAATGGTACTGGGCACCCACACGTACCACCAGGTCCTAAGTTCTTGGTGGGTACCATCGCATCAAACCCTCATGGCCACACTCTCGGACACCTGCTGTTTACAGACAAGCCTGAAGCAGAAAGGTCCAACAAGTTGCCCAGGGTCACACAGACTAGCGAGGGGCAGAGCTGGCATTCAAACCCAAGCTTCTGCTTGAGCTGAGCGACCACTGACTGACCTGCCCCCTCCACTCCCCAGCATCAGCTGGCTGAGACCAGGACACTGCTCTCTGGAGCTGGGTGGGGGTCCTACAACCTTATGAAGGTTTAGAAATAAGGACAGAGACTATCGAACCCAGAGTACTAAGGTGAAGAACAAGTTTGTGGACATAATGAACATGGGCATGGTTTTCTAATCACATGCTTGAAATACTGAAGGCCTACATTCTAACAGGGGAATATTTCTTGGAAAGTGAAAAAAAAAACCCAACTTAGTTATTACCATACTTTGTAGCCTTCCAAAGATCACCCCTACCGGTCAAAAATCATAGTCCTTGGTATTTCATTTCTCTCACTAGGGAAAACTAAATCAAATTTAAATTTAAAACAAGCTGACTGATGAATTTAAATTTCATTTTTCTGCTTAGGGGACAGTAATGAAGAAAAAGGCCGAGACACTGATCCAAAGGAGACCGGTATTTTGAAAGTTATTCTTTTAGATTTACTGTTTTAATTTTGAATATTTAATTGAAACTCGATATAAATTTTACTTGAAGTGCATACCAGTTTGATCTCTGATACTTTGAGTATTTATTTTTATTTATTTACTTGGCTGTACCAGGTCTTAGCTGCAGCACACAGGAGTGTTGCTGCGGCATGCAGGAGCTAGCTCCCTGACCCATCATCAAACCCGGGACCCCCAGCATTAGCAGTGTGGAGTCTTGGCCGCTGGACCACCAGGGAAGTCCCTTTCTTAAAAAAGTATACATATATATTTTTATTTACTGATTTCTAATACTTTGAACATTTAATGGTATGTCTCAGGGAATTCTACTTACTCAACCTATATCATTTTGGCATACTGCTATAAACTTATAATGGTATTTTATATAAAGGGAGATTTTGCTGGCTAGGTTTGTAAGGCTGCCAGTTTAGTGTTTTAGAAATCAGATCTGTTGAATTTGTAAATGAAGTTTAAAATGTTTGAGGATCCTTAGCTAGGTTTGTAAATGGGGTTAAGGAAATTTTCTCTTTTATTATATATTAATTGAACACTTCAAAAGCTACTTTTACAGAGAAATTACTAAGTTTATAAATTGATACATGATATTTATATACTATATTTGAAGATTTGGAAAATGGCTTTTTTAATTTGTAGATTTAATAAATTGAGATGAAAGAAGCTTGAAGCATTCCATCTGAGTACAAAAGACACCCTCAGATATTAAAAAACTGTATTATCATAAAGAAGCCTCCCAGTTCCTCTACATCATCACTTCCTATTTTCTTTTTCTTCAAAGCACTTACTACCACCTGTTACTTTCTTGTTTATTTACTTCGTTACTTGCTCTCTCTCTCTGCCGGTAAGGGAGGAGTCTCAGTCATCTTGTCCATCACTGTATCCTAGCCCAGTGCTTTGCGTTCATCAGGTTTCTAATAGATTTCTGGATGAAGAAGCCATCTGGGTCATCCAGCTCATAAGCCCACTGTGTCTTCCCGCTGTTCCAGCAGAGCCTCCTGAATTCTTACGTGCAAATGCTGAACTTCTTTAAGAGCGCAACACACATGTGCACACACACAAAAAACGAGAAATCGGAGATGAACTTACTGCATTAGCATTTCCTCCAACTTGCATGCATCGCAATTGAAACCAAGACCAGTTAGAATCCAACTCTGTAGATCTAAATGGAAAAAAATATTTTGAAATGTTAATACTGTTCCTCCCCAGAATCAAGCCACTCGACTCTTGAGGATAAGACTTCCTCAATCTGCAGGATCCTGAAGAAGTCTAAGTCTCCGTTAGCAGTGACACATGCTTCCGGGATGCTGGGGCTCCGGGTGAATGACAGTCGGTACAAGCTGCTCCTGGGCCTTCCTAGAAGCCAAGGTTCTGAAAAGAGATGTACTGTTTGGAGTTTTTCCAGGTCAGCTATTGATTGGAACAGTATGACCCCTAACAGCAGCCGGGAGGATGCTCACTATCTTATCAAGTAGAAGAGACCCACCCAACATCACCACCATCAGGAAAGGGAGAAAACTAAGCATTTAAGGTTGCTGAAGCAAAAACTGTGTGCCTCCTACTGCCACCATACCTTGTACCCTACTTGTTTGTAATCTAAAAGCAAGGTAAAAGCGGTGACTATAATCCCTAACTATAAAAATTCACCAACTGATCACTGTAGAAAATATTAGAAATCTTTCTATTGAGTCCATAGACATGAGCAAAAAACAAGGCTGTCCCTACATTCAACACTAGCTTGTCCCACACTAATTGGTAAGGAACGTGGACATTTTGAAATGGGTATAGGTTGAAGCTCCATCCTTCAAGGTAGAAAGAAAAGAAGCTCCATATTCATCAAAAAATATCCTTTTATGCTCCCTTTCCTGTTTCTCTTATTTCTCTGCCTATTGGTATCATTTAATTTTTGTAAATGTTAGGATGTTATTTTGAAGCCAATAGCTACCTTAAGATTAATACTAATACATATTATTATTAAATATACATAGGACAAACTGACTTCATGGTAACATATAAAAAGTAAAAAAGTAAACCCTACTTTATAAGAAACAGATTTCTTATAAAGACAGAAAAAATCTTTCTTTGGAATCTGAATACCAAGCCAGTTGATTAAATTATGTACATTGTTCTGAAATTCTTTCTCTGAAAGATCTTGCTTAGTCACCACATTTTCATGAATTCCCCCAGGCTGAGTTAGGTGCCATTCCCACCTCTTGGGACACAAGGTGGCAGTCACAGCACAATCTCTGGAGGGAGCTTTAAAGTACAAATCTCTACTCTGTCATTACAAGCTGTATGGTCTTGGAGAAATTACTTAACCTCTCTGCACCTTACTTTCCTCATCTGTAAAGTAGGGATAATTACAGTACTATCTATTTTGCTCTTATAGAAATTAAATAAGCTAATATTGGAAAGGTGCTTGGCTCACGGTCATTACCATATGGCTAAAATTCTCATCACCACCATCATTATAATCACCAGCATCACCATCACCACCATCATCACCACCAGCACCACCATCATCACCATCACTACCAGCACCACCAGGATCACCATCATAGTCGCCATCACCACCATCACCACCAGCACCACCATCACCACCATCATCACCAGCACCACCATCATTATAATCACCAGCATCACCATCATCACCACCACCATCATCACATCACCACCAGCACCACCAGCACCACCAGCACCACCATCATCACCATCACCACCAGCACCACCAGGATCACCATCATAGTCGCCATCACCACCATCATCACCATCACCACCATCACCACCAGCACCACCATCATCACCAGCACCACCATCATTATAATCACCAGCATCACCATCATCACCACCACCATCATCACATCACCACCAGCACCACCATCATCACCAGCACCACCATCATTATAATCACCACCATCACCACCAGCATCACCATCACCACCATCACCACCATCACCACCATCATTATAATCACCACCATCACCACCAGCATCACCATCACCACCATCACCACCAGCACCACCATCACCACCATCACCACCAGCACCACCATCATCACTGTGGTGACTCTGTCACACTGTTATAAGCAGCAAGCTCCAGAGGACAGGAACACCCATATTTTTCTCTCAACTCCTAGCATAGGCATATAATAGGTACGTTGCTTTAAATATTTTTAGAAGTCCTAAAATTGAGGCTATAAGTACTTAGATTTGCTAACCTGCCTCATAACTTTTAATCATAAACTACCTTAAAACACACACACACACACACACAAAACCAAATATTTCATTTTTTTTATATAAAGGTATTCGTATTTTATTTATCTATTTTTGGTCACACCTCATAGCATGTGGGATCTTAGTTCCTGGACCAGGGATCAAACCTGTGCCCCTTGCACTGGAAACTCGGAGTTTTAACCACTGAACCACCAGGGAAGTCCCCAAGCCAAATATCTCTCTCTGTATATTTCTTAGAAATGAAAGTAAGAACTGATTGTGCTTAAACTGACCTGACAGAGATTTTCTCTGCTAACACTGGAATTTCAAAATACAAGGTTGATGGTTCTGAACTCTGAACATAGTCAACCTTAAGAGGACACTCAAACCGCTTGTCAGTTCCCATTCCTACAGGGGGAGGTGACTCCCTGTAGGTTGCGTCTCACCTTTAATTTAGATTAAGAGAAGTGGAAAAGGCAGGAGTCTGTGACAGTGCTAATAAAATGTAAAGCAAGGGAAGCAAGAGAAGTTGGAGAATTAGTGTCCCTTTAACAAAATAGCTTCTGTTAACAAATTAGGTCAATGAAAAAACAGGTTTCCCACAACTTCTGTAATCCTTCATGTCAAAACATAGCTGCCTTAAAAAATGCATGAATTAGCACCGATGGCTGCTGTAGTCAGTATTTTATTTTATTTTATTTTTTGCTAAGTAGAGCATCTAAACGGATTTCAGAAACTTATGAAATCAGAACGAATCTCACAAATAAACATGACAAAGTTATCCTGGAATCAAAAATTTTAAGTGGAGTAAATTACACCGTAACTAGTAATCTAGACTCTCACAGACAAGCCCAGCAACGGCTTCCAGGCAGCCATTTGTGTATAACTGGCTTGATGGGCTAATTCAAGGTCACGAGAGGTGTTGCCTTTCTAAGCTAACATCATGAAAAGGCTCTCCTCTTGCATCCACTAAGCCGGCACCCAGATAATTCAGATCTGATCACTGTCAACAAGCTGGCGGCTTGCCACGTGCCAGGATCCATGAGAGTTCATTTGCTCACTCCTCCCAAAGCCCTAGGAAGAGTATAAGCCTTCTCGTCTCCACTTTCAAGGGAACGAGATGGACACAGAGAGGAAGGAGCACACCCACAGCTAGTAAGGGATGGCAGCGGGACTCAGACCCCCAGCAGCCAAGCCCCAGCGTCCTCACTCTCAGGGCCCACCCAGCGCTGCCTCGTGAACCTCAGGGGCGCCCACTGTGCTCAGGACGTCAGTCTTCCCCTCCCGGGTGCATCCCTCATGGGCCTCAGGGGTATACTGTTTCAGCTCCCAGCCTGGCAGTCAATCAAGACCCTGCCAAGGTCACACAGACCTTCCCCTCTGAATCTAACTTCTCATTTTCCTATGCATTAAAAACTAGCTACCAGACATTCCATTTTTTCCCATCTCTACACCTTTTCTTTTGTTTGTTTATTTGACTGCTCTGGGTCTTAGTTGCAGTGGTGGCGGCGGTGGTTTAGTCACTAACTCACATCCGACTCTTGCGACCACATGGACTGTCCTTGGGATTTCCCAGGCAAGAATACTGCAGTGGGTTGCCATTTCCCTTCTCCAGAGGATCTTCCTGACCCTGGGATGAAGCCCATGTCGCCTGCATTGCAGGCCAGTTCTTTACCACCGAGCCACCAGGGAAGCCTCTTAGCTGTGACCTGTGGGATCCAGTTCCCCGACCAGGGCTTGAACCTAGGCCCCCTGCATTGGGAGCACAGTCTTAGCCGCTGGACCACCAGAGAAATCCCTCTAAACTTTTTCTTACTGTCCGAGTGCTGCCCTCCGTCTCTCCAATATCAAAATCTCACCAGGCCTTTGAAGTTCGCTACAACTGCTACCTTCTGTTTAAACTTTGCCTTATTGTCCAAGCAGGAGACACAATGCTATTTCTTTCTATCGTGCTCTGTATAGACCACCTTACTGTTTATATTGTATTTGTACCCCCAGCCCAACAACGGTGATATAAGGTTGAGACCCCCTGCACCTCTCATGGCTTGTGAAACACTTAATGGCGAACTAGAGAAGAAACATGGCCAGAGACGAGCTGGGGGAGACTTGGTGTCACAGGTCCTGGGGGGAGAGCTCTGGGCCTGGGGTCGGGGTGGGGAGGGGGCGGGGCCAGACCACCAGGTCCATTCTGCTGGCGGTTCCCAGCGCAGTTGGCCATTTCCGCAGATGCCTAACCTCCCTTTCCCTTTTTGCTTGGCAAAAAGCCAGAGTTGATTATTTTTTTCCTTTGCAAACTTACTGACTTGAAATTCTACTTTAAAAAAACTCAAAACATAGCTCTTATTAAATAAACATTCCACCCATGCCAAACTGTTAATATGTTCACGCCTAGGAAATGGGACTTTGTGTGTGTGTGTGTGTGTGTGTGTGTGTGTGTGTGCGTGCATGTGATGTGTGGCCAGTTTGCAGGGGGAAAGAAAGAAGAGGGAATGGAGTCCTAGAGGAGGGACTTTCACTTCCTACTCTAGGACTGTTTGGATTCTTTTTTCCCAATGAACTAATATTTCTAATTGTTTTTTTTTTTAATCAACAAAAAATGTTTAAAGAGCAGCCCTTCGCCTCTGAAAAAAAAAATCCTTAAATACCTTTATCATCCTTGACTTTCTCCTGCCCAAATTCGCGACTGCTGCCCTCAGGTTATACGTACAGAGATTTTCTTTTTTTCCTTAATGGCTGTTTTTGAATCATGTACAAGCATCGTGATTCATCCGGTTATATTTATCTAACTTTTCCAAGGGTGGTGATTAAACCTGCAACAGCCCAGACAGACCCTGCAGTCCAGTCTCAGGCTCTCAGTCAGCCCTTCCCTCAGCTGGGGACACGTCAGAAAGCCACCAGTTTCCTGGGATGGTTTAAACTGGCAGTGTGCTGTGTGGTGGGGAAAAGGGAGGGCCCGCTCCGGGGGGCAGGGCCGAGCAGAGAGGAAGAGAGCCAGTTGCACACACAGCCTGGGCATCGTGAGCTCCGGGTAGAGTGGGTCACCGTGTAACTGGGGAAAGTACACGGAGATAAACTTGCCCTGGCAACCACACCCCTCCACATTCGAAACAGATACGAGGGCCGGAGAGTGTTAAAAATATCCTGCATCTAAGGAAAAAGAAAAGACAAGACGGGAAACTGACAGATGCCCTGAAAGTAGTAAGAACACACAAGAGAATTCCCTTCCCTAAATCATTGCCTATGGAGTTAAACGGCTATAATATTTAACCCATTCTGCTCCCATGGACGAGGAGCCTGGTAGGGTCGCAAAGAGTCGGACATGACTGAGCGACTTCACTTTCACTTTTCACTCTCATGCATTGGAGAAGGAAATGGCAACCCACTCCAGTGTTCTTGCCTGGAGAATCCCAGGGACAGAGGAGCCTGGTGGGCTGCTGTCTATGGGATCGCACAGGGTCGGACACAACTGAAGCGATTTAGCAGCAGCAGCAGCAGCAGCTCTTATAAACTGATTTCTGAGAAAAAGAATTCATGAAAGCACATCAAGAAAGCTTTTTAGGTTAATACAGTAAAAAAATTATAATATTAATAGGTTACTCCATGGGAACAAACACTCTTTGTGGTAATCATGTTGTAGGATCAGTGTGTTCCTCAAGTCATAGCAGGCAGGGAAACAGGTGAACTGACGGGGGAGCCAGCCGCGGGGAGGTCTGAGCCACGGGGGTCCCCTGCAGAGGCAGGGGCTGCTCGAGTGCACGACCTTTTGGTTTCCAAGCCCAGAGCCTGCCTGGGGATCCTTTATCTCAAAGTATTTAACTTCACACAAGGGCATATCCAGCCTCCCAGTGGACTGTGGGGTATCTTTGGTACCCACAAAGGCCCCATAGGGGGTCAGAATAGAGACAGGCACTTGTCAGAGGAGCCCAGGCAACCCATATCTGCAGGTTAAGAAAAAAGGCTTCACACTGCACACATCTTTCATACAAAAATCATTCCCTCCAGCTCTATTATGTCCTTGGGAGCCTGAGCTGTGGGATTACGCTAGAGGCGAAACCCAGCTCCAAGGGTCCCCCCAACTTAAATAACTATAGCCGAAGGAGTGATGGACAGACAGAACCCCCCTTCTCCCAGGAGGGGTCAGAGCAAGACTCCCATGTGCTAATTATCAGAAGACAAAAAAGGAAAAGGGGGCAACAGAGGATGAGATGGTTGGATGGCATCACCGACTCAATGGACACGAGCTTGAGCAAACTCCAGGAGATGGTGAAGGACAGGGGAGCCTGGCGTGCTGCAGTCCATGGGTCGCAAAGACTCGGACATGACTTAGCGTCTGAACAACAACAACAAAGGAAACGGAAATACTGCCTCAGACCCTAGATTCTGACTGTGTCTTCAACACCACTGCCTCGGCTCTTGGGCCGGGCTCTACAGAATAGCAACCGAATAGAAAATTACTCATTTTCCCAATTTACTCAGTTAGCGTTAGACTTAAATCTCCATGACTCAACCTACCTCTCATGTTACTTGATGGCACAGCAAACGGAAAGGAAAAGGGGAGAGAGACCCGTGGAGCACCGCACTCGCTCCCGCCCCCAGGAGAGAGGCGCCCTTACCGGATGAAACTCAGGTGGACGCCCAGGGACCGGTGGCCCCCAGAGCAGTCGATGCACAGGAATACCCCGTAGGTGATGCTGGCCCAGCTGGGGTTCTTGGCACCGCAGTCAAAACACGCCTGAAAGAAAAGTTCAGAACTTGGTCACCAGTTGATGCTTACTTGCCAGATCAGCCATCCTATAGGACAGTGCAGGGTTTGGCTTGAAAACTGCTTACGCCTCACAATTTAAACTGATTATTAGAAGGGATTCCCTGGTGGTCCAGTGATAAGGGCTCAGCGCTTTAACTGCTGGGGCCTGGATTCAAGCCCTGGTCAGGGAATTAAGACCCCACAAGCAGAGTGGTGCAACCAAAAACAAATAAATAAACAAACTGGCTATTAGAAAACATCTCACTTGGATTTTTTTAAAAAAGCTCGTTTCTATTGCATTTATATATTGTTATATTACACATATTACATATTAATAGAAACATTAATACAGTGTAGTAATTACACAATAAATCACATACTATTGTGTGTCTATTGCAACACTTCCCCAGTGGCTCAGTGGTGAAGCACCCACCTGTAGAGGAGGAGACGCAGGAGACACGAATCCCACCCCTGGGTCGGGAAGATCCCCTGCAGGAGGAAATGGCAACCCACTCCGCTATTTCTTGCTGGGAAAACCCCATGGACAGAGAAGCCTGGCAGACTATGGTCCATTGGGTCACCAAGAGTTGAAGCACACATACAGGTCATCATAACACTCGGCGGTATGTGTAGTGAAGTGAACTCAGGTGCGTTTATCATTCAAATATGACGCGTGCATGAAGCACCAACAGGGCCCCTCCCCCGTCACATGAACCAACACTAGACAGGGATGTCCCGCTGGAAACACCCAAGGCCTTACCCCCTGGGCACGGGCTCTCCACCAGATGGCAGCTGTTCACGCCTGTTTCTTTCCTCCTCACCCAGAGGAGGCGGAGAGCGTGGTAGCCAGACTCCAAGATGCCCCCGGGGTCCTGCCCTCCTGGTCCTAAGTGAAGTGAAGTTGCTCAGTCGCGTCCGACTCTTTGTGAGTCTATGGACTGTAGCCCACCAGGCTCCTCCATCCATGGAATTTTCTAGGCAAGAGTACTGGACTGGGTTGCCATTTCCTTCTCCAGGGCGGGGCTTCCCCTGTGGCTCAGCTGGTAAAGAATCCACTTGCAATGTGGGAGACCAGGGATCGACCCCTGGGTTGGGAAGATCCGCTGGAGAGAAGGGCTACCCACTCCAGTATTCTGGCCTAGTGAATTCTGTGGACTATAGTCCACAAAGAGCCGGACACGACTGAGCAACTTTCATTTCACTTCTCCAGGGGATCTTCCTGACCCAGGGATCGAACCCCAGTCTCTCGCACTGCGGGCAGATGCTTTACCGTCTGAGCCACCAGGGAAGCCCACATCCCGGTCCTAACCCTCAGGTCATCTCCAGCCTCACTCTGCCCAGGAGACGTGTGACCGATGATGCGGCAGACGTGCTGCTGCGTCATTTCCGGGTTCCGTCCCAAAACGCCCTGCGGCTTCCTTTCTCTTTCCGGCTCCTTCTGCCCTGGATCACTGGCTGTGGGAGACACCAGCTGCCGTGGCCGGAGGACACTGGGCAGCCTAGTGGAGAGACCCACGTGGGGAGGACCCGAGGGCTTCAGTCCGACAGCCAGTGGGACGCAGAGGCCGGCTGACCGCCGCGTGGGTGAGCTTGGGGTAGAAGCCCGAGCCTTCAGTGGCTGCAGCCTTATGAGCGGCCCTGAACCTGCCAGCCTCAAGGATAGCTCAAGTCAGCACTCTTCATCTGATAACAGGAGCACAGACACAGTGCTTGTCATGGAAATTAATACTACTGATTACTTAGAATCGGAACAACAGGGCTGTTAAGAATTCCACTAATAATAGAATTGTTTTCCAGGAAAGAAAAAAAGAAACCCATATTTTTCCCAGCTGAGCCCCCTCTCCCCGCAGATTCCTGGCCCTCAAAACCTGTGTGAGACAAGTTGTGTTTGTTGTTTTAAGATGCTGAGTTCTGCAATGGGCACTGATATGGAGAGCTATCGCTGTGTGGAACGCTGTGTCCTTCACGACCTCTGCCCCCTCCACTCTGCAGGCCACTTTTACAACAGACACACAGCTCAGGCCCAGGGAGCATGCCCCCTCTGGTGCCTGGCACTCCTACGGGCCCTGGGGACCCCACCTCCCTCATCCGCACAGAGCCCAGACGTGCTGAGAGCTCATCAATGTTTCTGTGTGTTTTTTTATCTCCCACAGAGCCTGAAAAATAGTGACGTACCCACACTAAGCATTCAGTAAATATATTAATCAAATGAACAACTTGTAAAAAATATCACCAGCTCAAAAATTATCGCCAGCCCCCTCAACACTGACTGGAGTCAAACATTCTTCATCTAATAATGAGACATAAAAGTATTCTAAAATACACAGTGCTTGTCATGGAATTAATATTTGTAATGAATTAAAACCAGAACAACAGAATAGTAAAAATTCCATGAATAGGAGGCTTTTTTAAAAAACTCCCAAATTTCAGATATGCTTTTCAGGCAGAGCCACCTCTGTGAAGGTTGTTCCAACTTTAACCATGAAGAGAGATCTGGCTTCTGGCCTCTTGAGGGCAGTACAAGTGTGAAAACACAGGTGGATTTTCCAAAGCCCTTCACAGTGACAGGTTCACATGAAGCCTGTGGGAACAGTGGTGGAGGGGGAACAGCTGACGTGAGAGACACCGGTCATTCACTTTGGTGTTTGTTGATTGCCTGCTGTATGCCAGACACTGTGGGAGAGCCTGAGGTACTAAGAAATGGATGGTGGTACTGATTCCACAAACACTTGCTGAGTCCCTCCTCCTTCCCTCCAACAGGCCACTAATGTAGGAGAAATGCATGCATGTTAAGCCACATCAGTCATGTCTGACTCTTTGTGATCCCATGGACTGGAGCCTGCCAGGCTCTTCTGTCCATGAGGATTCTCCAGGCAGGAATACTAGAGTGGGTTGCCAGGGGATCTTCCCGACCCAGGGATCAAACTCAAGTCTCTTGTGTCTCCAGCATTGGCAGGCGGATTCCTCACCACTAGGACCACCCGGGACATGAAAATGAAGACGCCCCGTGGTAACAGCCATTAGAGTAAGGAATCCCCTCTAGTGGGCTGCCACACAGTGGGACCGACTCTGCCAGAGGTGCCATCCCCCTGCGAGAGGCCACTGTAATTCCTCATTCACTCAGCCAACAGCTGCCACTATCGGGAAGCCCCGGCACACATGCAGTGATGTACAAAGGTGGCCTGTGGAGCTCACAGCAGTCTGGGAGTCCTAGCAGAGAAGACAACACTAGTTATAGTGCTGAACCTCAGTAAGCAAGGACAGGATGCAAAGTTTTCTAGACAGGGTACAAGTGGCATTTGGGACATCAAGAATAGAGTCTAAAGGGGCAGTAAGTGGCAAAAGCCTGTGCAGGAAATGGCCCTGTGCAGGGAGATGACCCAGAGGCTGGGAGCACACAGCCCAGAGCAGGCAAGTCTGAGAATCACTCCCAAGGTGGTCGCAAGGCTGGCTGTGAAAAGACAGCATCAGGGTTTCTAACAAGTGGCCTCAGCATCTTCCTGACCTACCAACTAAGAATGTAGCTCCATGAGGGCTGGGGCCTTGCTCGCTTCAGCTGAGCTCTGAGTGTTGAGCCCAATACAAAGCACGGACCAAATGCAAACACAGGTGGTCAAAGAGCTCCTGAGCCAAGACTGTGACCTTTGGAGGCTGAGGTCAGAGGGCAGCTAGAAATCCCAGCCTGGCTCTCACAAGTGCTGCCGTGGTTCTCCTGCTGGAACGGGGACTCCACTGTGCTTTGATATGCAACCCTAAAGCAAAATGCCAAAGAATCAATGCCTTTGAATTGTGGTCTTGGAGAAAACTCTTGAGAGTCCTTTGGATAGCAAGGAGATCAGACTGGTCTATCTTAAAGGAAATCAGCCCTGAATATTCATTGGAAGGACTTTTTGCTGAAGCTGAAGCTCCAATACTTCGGCCACCTGATGCAAAGAGCCAACTCATTGGAAAAGACCCTGATGCTGGGAAAGATTGAAGGCAGGAGGAGAGGGGGACGACAGGATGAGACAATTGAATGGCATTCCTGACTCAATGGACATGAATTTGAGCAAACTCTGGGAGATGGTGGAGGACAGGGAAGACTGGAGTGCTGCAATCCATGGGGTCACAAAGAGTTGGACGTGACTTAGCGACTGAACAACAATTACAAACCAAAGTGGGGATATGGTTTTCTAAGCAAAATATCAGCTCTTATGATAATAAAAATAATTTTGGACTAGCAGTTTGTTTTGCCTTGTGTGAGAATAGTAATTACTATAGAAGTCACGGCTAATGTGTTCCACGCCTGGCATTGTTGCTGGTCAATGGAATCTTTCTAACAACCGTATAAGAAGGCACTTTTCTTATCCCCATCAGGCCAGCTTCTGGGCGTGTGTGTGATCCATACATTCACTCACACGGGGGCCTACATGGCACGCAGAAGGGCCCATGAGTAGTTAATGCTCTGCTGTGCCATCTTGAAATTCTTAATACTTTTCCAACAAGAGCCCTGTATGTTCACTTTGCATATTTCAAGTTCCCTGCAAAGTTTATAAAGCCAGTCTTCATCCCCATGTTAGAGAAAACTAAGGAAATATGAAGTGAAGAGTTATAGCTAGGAAGTAGTATCACAGGGATGAGACCCCAGACAGGCAGTCTGCCCTTGAGCACACTCTTCATCCCTTCACTGCGCTGCCTCTCTCCAGACCAAGCAGCCCTTGATCTGTCCTCTAAACCCAGGACCACTAGCTCCAAAAAGGCAGCAACCTGTCCCTTTTACCATCGGCGCATCCTCAGTGCTTTGCAGCGCCCCTCACGCTGCAGGTGCTTAACTGGTATATGTTGAATGAATGACTCAAACAATCAATGTAACATCAAGGAACAGCTGAGATGGGAAGGATTTCACAAACTAGAAAACTGACCCTTTGAGGTAAACCTTTGATCCAGAGTAAATATTCACCATACACAGAGGGGGAGAAGTTGGATGCCGCATTCTAAAAATAAACCAAAGTGTTTTTAAGTATCTTTCCTGTGTCATGTGTCTTAGAGCTCTTTTTAACCTCGTTTTAAAAATGCTTATTAATTCTTCCACATCATTATAACTAGTTTCCATCTTTGCTTAGGTAATTATAACTAGTTTTCATCTTTGCTTAGGTAAAGGTTTATTGTGCATGTGTGCATGCTAAATAGCTTCAGTTGTGTTCAACTCTGTGCAACCTGATGGACTGTAGCCCACCAGGCTCCTCTGTTCATGTGATTCTCCAGGCAAGAACACTGGAGTGGGTGGCCTTGCTCTCCTCCAGAGGATCTTCCTGACCCAGGGATGGAAACTGCGTCTTTTACCTCTTCTGCATTGGCAGGCAGTTCTTTACCACTAGCGCCACCTGGGAAGCCCAAGGGTTTATTCTCTTTGCGACCCCATGGACTGTATAGTCCATGGAATTCTCCAGGTTAGAATGCTGGAGTGGGTAGCCTTTCCCTTCTCCAGGGGATCTTCCCAACCCAGGGATTGAACCCAGGTCTTCCGCATTGCAGGCACATTCTTTATCAGCTGAGCCACAAAGGAAGCCCAGTGGTTTATTACTAACACTCAAATAAATAAAAAGTCTTAGTCAAGGAATGTAGCACCATACTGTGGAACACTGGTGCTGCTGCTGCTAAGTAGCTTCAGTCGTGTCCGACTCTATGTGACCCCATAGACGGCAACCCACCAGGCTCCACCGTCCCTGGGATTCTCCAGGCAAGAACACTGGAGTGGGTTGCCATTTCCTTCTCCAGTGCATGAAAGTGAAAAGTGAAAGTGAAGTCGCTCAGTCGTGTCCGACTCTTCGCAACCCCATGGACTGCAGCCTACCAGGCTCCTCCGTCCATGGGATCTTCCAGGCAAGAGTACTGGAGTGGGTTGCCATTGCCTTCTCCGTGTGGAACACTACCACAAACTATTTTTGCTCAGTGCTTTTATTAACCCTACTACAGAATATAAATTTTTTTTACAGGTGTGTTGTTCATAATTAAAATAATAATAACAAAAATAGCTGATATGTATCCATGGCCAGTATATACAGGTACTACTGTAAGTGTTTTTCTTGGATTTTGTCATTTAATCCTCACAATAACTCTCTGAATTAGACCCGGCTCATGCCCCATTTTCAGATGAGGAAAATAAGGCACAAAGCGGTCAAGTAATCTGCCCAAAGTGACAGGAAGTCACGGTGTCTGGACAACAATTTATAGCCAAGCCCACACATGTCCTTCAGAAGCATTCTTGGGATAAAGACACTGACTTCTTACTTAAAAGGGGCACCTTCCTGTTGATGAGTTCATTCAATGAGAACGTATGTTGTGTTTCTGACATAAAGCAGACAAAAATATATGGCTTCTACTCTGCTAACTCTAGATCCTTATCTCGTCTAGTTTACAGCAACCACTCTTTATAAACAGAGTCACGAAAATTTGAAAATCAAGAAAACAGCAAAGAAGTCGGCACTGGAGAATTCCTGGAAACTTTCTCCTCCGGTCTTTCTTACACTCGTCAGGTATCACCACCAATAAACGGCTTCCTTCTGTACTTCTCTTAGGCTGTAAAAGTACTGGCTCCCCTCCACCTAGACTGAAAGACATCTACATGTTGTAAAACTCTGGGGCTTTCTGTGCCGTCGTGTCATGGCTCATGACCGCGCTGGTTAACAGCTGTTCACTTTGGAGGTGGCAGTGGGGGCCGGGCAGAACAGTCACGGAGAAGAGGGGAGAGTCCATGCTGACATGACCGCCCTTTGCACTGGCCAGGTTCCACGCCAACCTGTGATCCTCACCGAGGGCGTCACTTTAGCCTGATTTGTCATCCCATCTCTAGCCAGTCGCAAAAAGTGCTGAGAGTCATGGGGGGTGGGAAGCGGCCCCTGAGATGAAGAAAAGAAGGAAAACCCCAATCTCCAAGGAGACCCAAAGGGAAGGAAGGGAAAGGGTCTGTGCCGGGCTTTCTTAGCAAGAGTTAAGAGCTCCAAGTGACTTAGCAGCGACTACTTAGCAGCTTCCTGAGACACGGAGATTGAGGCTGCCACCCCAGGACACAGGGCACCAACCAGCCTCCGACTGGCACCTCTGGGGAGCCTCAGAGGTGAGCTCGAAGGTGGGGAGGGGGCACGCTCAGCTTGCCCAGGGCCCAGCGCTACCAGCTGGAGTTTCTGACCCGGTGCATGCTTCCTGGCTGGGTCACAGGTGGCCTGCGGGGTCCGCCCCTAATCGCGGGAGCCCCGTGTACGACCCCCTCCCCTCCAGCCCTCTCTCAGGTCCCAGAGCTCGCCCCCAGTTCTCTCAGGAACTCAAGAGTCCACTCTGCTGCTCCCTCAAAGCCCACTCTGCCTCCCCGTAAGCTCCCAGGCCCCGTACGCCCCTGGGACCCCCAGGTGCTCTCGCCTCCCGCCCCCAGGACTTCCCAGGTGTCGGTCCAGCCTTGGGCCTTGGCGTGCGCCCCCACCCCCGCCCCTCCCGTGCTGAAGCGGGGAGGGCAGCGCACCGACCGGACCCAGGCCAGGCCCAGCCGTTGCGGCCGCACAGTGCGACGTGTCACACAGGCCGGGCCGGCTCCTCCTCCCCGCGGCCGCGGCCACTGGCGCCGTAGGGGCCGCCCGCGGGATCCCGCAGTGATGCCAGGCGAGCCTGAACACTCCTGGCGGCCGTTACCTTGTTGGTGGGCACCGAGCGGAGGCGCTTGAAGATGGTCAGGATGTCTTGCTTGCTGGGGTCCCCCATGATCATCCAAGAACCGGGGCGCAGCTCGCCCCGCCAACCGGGAAGGGCAGAGCTGTGGCGGTTGCCCGCCTCCGGGGGGGTAGACGCCGACCGAGGGGCGGGGCTGCCCGGGAAGATCAGACCCCGCCTATCGATGACCCCGCCCCTGGCCCCGCCTACCGCCGTAGCGCACGCGCTGCTCGCTCAAGCCCCGCCCCGCTGCGTCACGCGCATGCGCAGGGAGGCTCGCGGGCCTCCAGGCCCCTACCTGGCTTTGGCTCTGGGCGGGGCTTGTCGCAGGCGGACCTGAGTCTGGTTTGTGCCGGCGCTCACGGCTGCCAGAAGCAGGACTGCTTCGGATGACGCACTCCTTCCTCGGCACCAGTCGGTCGGCCGAACCTGCCCCTCCAAGTGGCAAAGGAGAAAACTTGCGAGGCGAGGGGCCTCCCTTCCGTTTCCCGATGCCCGAGGGCAGGGTTTTCTCTAACCGCCTTTTAATATATTTATTTCTTTTGCCCCGAGCTAAAGCTGAGGCCTGGGTGGGAAGCGTCCTGTGGCGAAACTGGTTTTCTTTAAGTATCAGTTTGGGTATATCAGTTATTGTTCAGTCGCTCAGTCGTGTCGGACTCTTTGCAACCGCGTGGACTTTTTGCAACCCCGTGGACTGCAGCACGGCCAGGCTTCCCTGTCCTTCACGCTTTCCTGGAATTTGCTCAGACTGATGTCCACTGAGTGGGTGATACCATCCAACCATCTCATCCTCTGCTGCCCCCTTCTCCTCCTGCCTTCAGTCTTTTCCAGCATCAGGGTCTTCTAATGGGTCAGCTCTTCTCATCAGGTGGCCAAAGTATTGGAACTTCAGCTTCAGTCCTTCCAATGAATATTCAGGGTTGATTTCCTTTAGGATTGACTGGTTTGGTCTCCTTGCTGTCCAAGGGACTCTCAAAATTCTTCTTCAGCAGCACAGTTCGAAAGCATCAATTCTTCAGTGTTCAGCCTTATTTATGGTCCAACTCCGACACCCATACATGACTACTGGAAAAACCATAGCTTTGACTTGATGGACCTTTGTTGGCAAAGTAATGTCTCCTTTTTAATACACTGTCTATGTTTGTCACAGCTTTTCTTCCAAGGAGCAAGCGTCTTTTAATTTTATGGTTGCAGGCACCATCCTCAGTGATTTTGGAGTCCAAGAAAATAGTGTGTCACTTTCCATTTTACCCAATCTATTTGCCATGAAGTGATGGGCCCAGGTACCATGATCTTAGTTTTCTGAATGTTGAGTTTTAAGCCAAGTTTTTCACTCTCCTCTTTCACTTTCGTCAAGAGGCTCTTTAGTTCTTCTTCACTTTCTGCCATAAGGGTGGTGTCAGCTGCATATCTGAGGTTATTCATGTTTCTCCTGGCAATCTTGATTCCAGTTTGTGCTTTATCCAGCCTGACATTTCACATGATATACTCTGCATCTATAGTCGTGTATAGATATAAGAGTTGGACTATAAAGAAAACTGAGCCCCAAAGAATTGATGCTTTTGAACTGTGGTGTTGGAGAAGACTCTTAAGAGTCCCTTGGACTGCAAGGAGATCAAACTAGTCAATCCTAAAGGAAATCAGTCCTGAATTTTCATTGGAAGGACTGATGCTGAAGCTGAAACTCCAATACTTTGGCCACCTCATGTGAAGAACTGACTCATTTGAAAAGACCCTGATGCTGGGAAAGATTGAATGCAGGAGGAGAAGGGATGACAGAGGATGAGATGGTTGGTTGGCATCACCGTCTCGATGGACGTGAGTTTGAGCGAGCTCCAGGAGTTGGTGATGGACAGGGAAGCCTGGTGTGCTGTAGTACATGGGGTCTCAAAGAGTTGGACACGACAAGTGACTGAACTGAACTCTGCATGTAAGTTGAATAAGCAGAGTGACAATATCCAGCTTTGTCGTACTCCCTTCCTGATTTTGAACCAGTTCATTATTCTGTGTCAGGGTAAATCAGTGAGAGATAACAATTCTCCTGAGGCAAAAGATGCTTACTGGGATATGATGAAAGCAGACAAGAAGAGAGCCGGCTTTTTCCTACCCTTGGCCGACATGACTGCCTGGAGGGTTTAAACGCTTGGAGAATGGCGCCTCTTTGCCACTAGCCCGCGGGTCAGGACAAGGATAACAGGTTTTGGAGTCCAGGCCCAGTTCAGCCAGCTCCCTCCCAGCTTTGTGATCTTAGTCAGATCACTACTCTGAAGCTGGGCTGCTCCTCCCTACCATGGGGTGAGGCTGGGGAATCAGTGCTGGGCAGTGTAGGAAGGCAGCTTCCCAGTGAACCCAGGGAAACACTTGGGCCGTTGTCTTTCTGCTTTTGAGGTGCCGTGAGGCATGTTCTCTCAGCCAGTCTGGTTAGATACCCTCAGGGAAGTTGGAAGCTTGAAGGGCTGGAAGTATTCCAAGGAAGGGAAATATATCACCTTCCAGAACAGTAAGTTACTTTTGCAGTAAGTTTCAGCTCTGACTGAAAGTTCTTCCTTGTATTGAATCAAAATATTACTTCCCTGGTGTCTCGGTGGTAAAGAATCTGCCTGTCAATGCAGGAGACAGGTTCCATCCCTGGGTCGGGAAGATCTCCTGGAGGAGAGAATGGCAACCCACTCCAGGATTCTTACCTGGAGAATCCCATGGACCGAGGAACCTGGCGGGCTACAGCCTTTGGGGTCACAAAGAGTCAGACACGACTTAATGACTAAGCAACAACAACAACATTGCAATAGGCCGTGTACTTTGTGTCTCTAGGTCCTGGTTTGACCCTACACAGAACACCCTTTCTGATGAGAATAACTTCTTACCAAGTTATGTATCAGATTCAGGGTATTGTCTACTCTGAGAAGAAAAAAATATACAATGAAATGTAGACAGTGTCTACACTAACTGAGGCATAAAAGGACTAAAGGAAAAAAAATACTATCAGTGTTTTTTTCTCATCTGCTTAATGCCATAATATGTCATACTCCTCTCAACTGAATATAAGTTTTTGAGATCAGATGTATTGTGTCTATCTTTCTATCCCCAGCACCTAAAACAAAGCCTGACACATGGAATATATTCAGTAAGGAGGTGTGGAACAGGCTTAGAATGTAGAAAGCTGCAAAGAATGTGATTCAGCATAATAATGAGAAACGGCTGGATAACGTTTAAAATCATAACTTGAGCCCATCAGAGAACTGGGGTTGCAAAGCAACCAAGTAAACAGAATTCCAAAGAGAGACATGCCTCCCCAAGACAGATGGAACACAGAACTCTTTCACCTTTGGCGAAGAACAGGGGAAAGAGGTGGCTGCCATACAAGTGGGCAAAAGGAAATAAGTTAAATTTTTAATGAATTCTTTGAGGCCAAGCATGGACTAGCATGTCAGTTTAGAATAGCTAGGGGCCTCAGAAACAAAGAGAGCTTACTGTCTTCATTCACAAGTTCTTTTCTATAAAACCTCCATCAGAAGTCTTTCTTCACGAGAAAGATGGAGACAAGAGAGATGAAAAGAAACCCTTTGTTGGGCAAGCATCCAACTTTTGGTGCGTGAAGGTAGAAGCCCACCCGCTTCCTTCTCTCCAAGAAAGCAAAAGCATCAAATTCAGTCTCCCTTGGGCTACAGGCAAAGAGCCACGGCTGCCAGGGGTAGAAGCCAAATCCAGTAATCCCAAATCCTGAAGAGAATAGGAAGTCTTCCTGCTCTCAAGAGTCTAGGCAGAAATCCATTGCTTCTGATCTGAGAAAAATAGAAGGACCCAGTCAGTAGGCAGGGCCACATTGCCTTCTGGGTACTGTCCTAGCTCTCCACCTTTTATGAAGAGAGCCTGGTATGCCTGTGGCCAGGTAACATCTTACGGAAAAACCCCAACAATTTTTTTGGCCAGGGGCTTTCCAGGTGGTGCAGTTGGTAAAGAATCTGCCTGCTCAGTGCAGGAGACACAAGAGATGTGGGTTCGATCCCTGGGTCAGGAAGATCCCCTGGAGAAGGGAATGGCTATGCACTCCAGTATTATTGCCTGGAGAATCCCATGGACGGAGGAGACTGGTGGGCTACAGTCCACGGGCTCACAAAGAGTTGGACATGGCTGAGTGACTAACACTTCAACTTCCCAGGTGGCACAGTTGGTAAAGAATCTGCCTGCTCAGTGCAGGAGACGCAAAAGATGAGGGTTCAATCCCTGGGGTTGCAGAGTCGGACATGAATGAGTGTGCATGCATGCTTTTTGGCCAACCCAATATTTAGTTTATTCAGTTGAACAGGACCTTGCTGAAAGCCCAGTGCCACTCTAGGAAAAACTAGACGTGCTTAGACAGTCATATGATGAGTCACAAAGTAAGAATAAGCATAGACCTTATCCTTGTCCCAGTGGACTTTAGTTTGTGCTGAGAACAAATTGCTGACTTACAAAGACACAGCGTAAGAGGTGTCAGTGGTGTTTGTTCAGTGCTGAGGACAGTAGCCCAAGAGACCTCTCACGTTACCTTGAGGTACTGTTTCAAAGAGGTAAGGGAGGAGCCTGGATAGATATGATGTTTGTTTTCTTTTTTTTTTTCCTGGAAAAAGTGGTCATTGAACATCTAAAGATCACTGCAAATCACAAATAACAGACATCTCAAATTAATGATTTTAGCACTTTTCTCTCTTGGGGAAGACACAAGAATCCGCAGCCTCTGAAATTTTTCCTTAGTTGTGTTTCTTAACTATCTAGGGGCCAGTATCCACAGCACATGCTTTCTGCTTCTCTCCATTCTGAATTCCCCTCAGTGGGTGGCCGCAGTGGGTACTGGCTTAAACCTTGTAGAACTGGAATGGCAGGCAGCATATTTTTTCTTTACAAAGCAAACACTAGCTCTTAGACATGCCATTTCTGCACAGGTCAGATACTTTTGCAAACGACTTCATGGAATCATGAGCAGCCTTATCTGATTTCCACCAACCTCGCTATGCTCAGGCAGTGCGCTTGTTACTGAAGTGACTTCAGTCTGCTTGCCTGCCGTGGCAAAC